ACTGAAATAGAACAGAAAGGAGAGGGAACTGTGTCTTTGTCACGTTTTGCTTGGAATCTTTCATTCTTTTTTTGGGGATATTTTTTAAATATATGTGTTGATTTCTTTTGCTTGGAATCTTTCATTCTTTTTTGTGGTATATTTTTTAAAATGTGTTGATTTGTATTGTGTATTTCCTATGTATTTAGTGGAACTCAAGAGGATTTTGAGAACTTAGACAAACATCTTTGTCAGTTAGTTGGAATTTTTTTTTCTCTAATTAGGAACCCTACGGCCAATCATCTGCCTCCGTACCTCCATTTCACCATTTTGTTTCATCAACCAGCTCCACTTCCTGCATCACTACGTCCCTGGACCTCCTCTTGAGGACCTCTTCTCGACATACGGTCTATGGTAGAAAATGTCTCACTTCCTGTGCATGGTGTCCAGGAAGTCCCTGATGAGAAGCTTGTTATCTTTCTGCTAGATTTGTGGGCTAGTGCTAGGATCCCTGCCTTCACATATTGTTTTTTATTTCCAACTTGCCATGCCTCACTTTGGCCCTCAGGTTTAAAAACTGTCATATCAACAAACGCAGTACTGCTGTGGCGACCCCTGGTGGACTGAAGAGAACTTCATCCTTCATCCTCTATTCTTACACTCTTCTATGACTCATCGTGTGTTCCACTAACTTTCCTTTTGACATCCTTCATCTGATACTGTTTGTTCACCATCCTCCACCTTGGAAATCCTTTACATGATGTCCTTGAAGTTCTGTTCATTTTTGTCAGTACCAAGGAAAATCTCAACGTCATCTTTTGTATTTCAGTCCGTGTCACTGTCTTCAGACCACATACATCAGAGGATTCTCACTGCTGCTCCACAGACCTTTCCTCCCTCCGCTGCTGCTGTCTTCCTCTCCCAGATCACCTCTGACACTCGACTCCACCCTCTTCCTCTCCCCCTTTTTTTTTGCCTCGTAACCCTGATCAAAATGTCTCTGTTTGCTGCAAATGATGCACCACTTCTGGGGTTTTAGCGCCGTGGTAACAGCCCTCTGTGGATCCAGATGCAGATTAGAATCTGTTTTTTTGTGTGTGTGTGAGTGTGTGTAATACTGCGGCACATTTGATTATTTTTCTGCTTTTTCCTCATTAAATGTTCATGGTTTGGCTCCAGGATTGTGAATCACCACAAACAGTCTGCCGTTGTGCTCATTAACAGCTGTTTTCACTGCTTGGTCGGACCGATGGACCAATTTGTAAGCAGGAAAAGATATTTCTCAATGTTTATAACAGACGTTTTTGGAAAATAATCCACTATTTAAAAGATTATCTCGAGTCAATGTACTCTATAAAAAAAAAAAACAAACACACTGTCTAACGGATGTAGTGATGAAAACTTGAAGTATTTAATCAAAATAACATTTATTTGGTGAAGTTTAATGCAGTCATCTACATTAAATTCACAATTAAACAATTTAATTTTAAATGTATCAGTTATTAGTCGTTATTACATTTTTTACTTAAATCTTTGTTCCCATTTCTGTCTTTTTGTTTGTTTGTTTTCTCTTCTTTAACTTCCGTGTTGTTTGCGTTCCCATTTCTGTCTTTTTGTTTGTTTTCTCTTCTTTAACTTCTGTGTTGTTTGGACCCAAACCAGTTATTTAAATTGAAAACATAAACTATAGCTCAACCCAAACCAGTTATTTAAATTGAAAACATACTTTGTTTTTTTCATAAACTATATCTCAACTCATTTGTTGTTGATTATTCTCTTAATGCCAATAACATAACAAAACCTTATCCATGTTGAAGTCTTCTTTTTAGAACATTTTTATTCATTAACAGTCATTTTAGAAGAAGAAAACCCAGGACGTTCTATGCAGGAGCGTAGAACCTTGACTATGTCACATTTATCTCTCTGCTCAATGGAAACTTAATTGAAATGGCACAGTGTTATGAATACTTTTATTCCTAATGAATTTCTCCTAGCACTGAAAACCCATTATGATTAATTGAATGGTCACATTGCTGCCCCAAACCATTGGATGTTCTTCTCCAAGGAGCCTGGAGAACGTGTCACTGATTAAAAAAAGCTCTGACTTCTGACAGAAAAAAAAAAGTTACTTTTTTCTCTTTTTAGTGGGTTTGTGTACAGCAGTATCAGGACTTGTGAATCTGGGAACATTTAATTGAATTAAATCATTAAGATTAGAGGCTGACCTCCCTCTTTAATGAGGCCTAACAAGGCTGTTGAATGAGTTGCACTAATTGGGGGCGAATTATTCATGTGCCACAAGAAAGGATTCATTAGGCTTTGGACAAAAGAAACTATTATATGTGTTGATTTCCCCTTTTTCTTTAAAAGCTGATTGGACTTTGGATCCTCCACGAAGGGTCCCTGAACCATGTTCCTTTTTGAAGGGGGACACGTTAGATAATGAGAAAAAAACAAGGGCAAACTGTTTGAATTTAGTACATAATTAAGTGACTAACTAATCTTTGCATTTAACTTTTGCACATACTGTAAATTATGCATCTGTTAAACTGTTAATAAAGCAAAGATCAAAAATGCTGTAAAAATGTTGTTAATCTTTGTCTATATATTGCTACCAGTCAAGTTAATGACCAGCAAGTTCAATGGATAGATATACTGTGGATACAGTATAACTGATGTTATCTTGGATACAGTTGTGATTAGCCAGCACTCAATCACACCAGAAAATACATTTAATTATTAAAAAAACAAAACTTTTGGAATTGGAAAAAATTTCACATCCACCAAAATTATTAGCCATTTGTGGCGACCCCAATAGAATTCCAGGTGACCCCACATGGGTTCACGACCCCAAGCTTGAAAAACACTGCTCTAAACAAATAGATCATGCAAAATTTGGCAGTATCTAAAAATTTGTCAAAGTTGATGCTGAATTTAAAATGTATGATTTCAAGACAAAAGCTGATGGTCACATGACAGGAAATGAAGACCTACGGCCAGATTTGGGTTGGGGGTGCCATCAATGGATTTAGTAATAAAAAAATCTGTGAACAGAAATATTCCTTTTGTTTTTGCCCATTGTGACGACATAAAAGAGCAAATTTCCTCGTTCTCCTTATGGTGAAATGTGTCTGATGTTCCTGTTTAATGACGCACAAAATTAAGCGTTATCATTAGTATTCCAGGTTATTCTCTCTCTCCCCCTCTCTCTCCCTCCCCCAGCCACTTACTCATACCATGCCTATGTCTACCTGTTTAATATTGGAGGCAGGTACTGACCATTACACGGCGCCATCATCATTCCTCTCTCTGTCTGTTTATTGTCGGTGAGATCTTTCTGAAATAATAATGCTGCCCCATGGTTATTCCATCTGTTGATGTTTGTTTTGCGGAATCTCTGTGTCTCCCATGTTTGCCTACATATCTGACGCGTTGAGGGTTATTTTGAAAAAAAGAATAAAAATAGAGCTGGTGAAGATTTGGTGTAAGAGGGGTTAGTGCAGAGAGCATGGAGCCCCCCGGAGTCGCTGTCAGTCAGTGCAGAATTTATCAGCATATCGGAGAAGGGAGGATGGAGTCGGGGTAGGCTTTCATCTTAACCACATGTTGTCATTCCACATTACGGCTGATAGAGTGCGCCAAGGTGGGTGGGCAAACAAGGTTAGGCAAGATGAAAGTGGCTACAGATGAGGGAGAGGCAGGATTTATGGATTTTTCCCTCAGTTGTCCTCAGACGCCCAAGGTTGATGCCTCTGTTAACACACGTCCTAGTTGTTAATAGTGTGCGCTCTGCAACTTTTTTTTTTTTTTTTTATGAAAACAAAAAAGGTTTAATCTTTAATTTTCCCTCCTTTGTTATTTCTGGTGGCCCCACGCTGTGATTGATTGTTGGCTAATTATACGGAGTTGTACTTTCTTTTTGCAAAGTTCTTTGAAGCGAGGTTGAAGTTGTGATGTATTTGAAGCGCAAATGACTGGCGGCGTGTTTGTCCATAAAACCTATAAAAAATAATTACCCAGGCCCGATTCTTTCCACAACGCCCACGATCAGAGAAGAAAAGAGCGCTATGCAGCGCTGGTGTTTGGGCTAACGATGCTGTGAAATCCTAATAACTAATACAGAAGCATCGGATAATGAAAAATATATATGTTAGAGAGCAGAACATCATTCGTCATTACTGTGTTTGTTGTAATTTCTAAGATCGAAAATATACTGCTAATTGTATCTCCTGTGGTTCATAGAGTCTATCTATACAAGTCTATTACGATGAATAGAGAAAACAATGAAAAAAAAAATCAACTCCAAAATTGGAATTTACTCCATGATGATGTTGACATTTGTACTGTTTCAGTCGTCCACTTACATCAAGGCTTTAACGAGACAGTGACGTTTGATAGATGGCAAGAGGGAAACTGAGATCAGGAGCGGCATAGAAGTACTTGAGGGCAGTGCAGAACAGCAGGTGTGCAGTCAGAGTGAAAGATGGGTTCAGATTAGGAATGGTCTGATTTTCTTGTCTAAAACAGCAGACAGGATGGCAGATGTTAATTTATTCTTTATATATTTTTTCCTTTTAAATTTGTTTAAAAGTCCTGAGTTTAATTTTCAAAAATGTATTTTGTCCACCAACTAGACTAAATTCAGTTAGACCCAAATAATGCTCCATGGTATTTCACATTGTACGTGCAGTTAGAAAATACTCGATACACAAAGTTCACCACCTAATGGTGAGTCATGACACGACCTCTTTTTGCCTTTATTTTATTGGAGAGACGTTCAGAATGTTGGCAGTTTGATTTTTTTTTTCTCTTTTCATTCTCACTTAACAGTTGTGCCAGTTTTTTGTTTTAGACTTTTTTGGATTGTGTCCATCTGAGTTTTGATGCATCATGGGAACTGGCCCCAACATTTCAAAGCTTTCTGTCTAAGAATTCTCCATTACAGAGGTCAGATTTGCGCCTTTACGATAAATGTGTTCATCTGCTGTGTTAACTCTCGTCTTTGTGTTTTTCCTCCTCAGCTTTGAAAGACGGTCGCTTTCAGCTGGTGAACTTCTCAGACAATGAGCTGCGGGTGTCACTGTCTAATGTCTCGCTGTCAGACGAGGGTCGATATGTTTGCCAGCTCTACACGGATCCCCCGCAGGAGGCCTACGCTGACATCACTGTGCTAAGTAGCTACGACAGCACAAAACACACACACACACACACACCCACCCCCACACAAACGCGTTCACACACACAGACTGTTGGTAGCAGCGAGGTGAGGCTTGTTAATCAGCGTTCAGACAGTGGAAGACAGCATACATTCACATGTTTGAGCAGCACGGTCGACAGCTCGCCGAGGAAACTGCCACTGGCTCTGACAGCAACAACAGTGGAGCCACACAAATACACCGGCATCATGTGTATTCATTAAAAAGCAAAATTGCACATTGTTTAAACAAGCAAAGTTAAGACGGTGCAGTCAGCCACGTCCTGATTTACATTTAAACTTTTAAATTGAGATTTGTCTGACATGGCGGTTTGAGACGCCGACACTTAGTGTAAGTCTAGACGTTGAATAGAATCACCATTAGACACGCAAGATTTACCCTCGGTAAAAATCAGGGGATTACCTGATGAAATCTACCATAGCTTGAAGTCCACATCATTATTAAGAATATATTTACGTTTATATTTCACCGCAGCGCTGTCTCCTCTGACAACAAACTGATGCTTTTTTTTATTGTTTGACACACTGCATCTCCCACACAGAAGTTCACGGAGAGAATTAACATTTTTAGCTGGCTGTGCTGTGGAAACCTCTGTTCTACAGCTGCAGTGATTAATGACTGTGTCTTTGAAAGGAATCCAAACTGAAGGATTTGGATCACAAAGCTTCAGGATTGGTCGTACAGTAACTTGCTAATAGCAGCAGTGCTGGGTCGACAGCTAGTGTTTTATCGTAATATAAACCTGTGGTTTTTCAAGTGCACACAAATACTTTTAGGGGAGGTTTCCAAAGGTGGGAGAGTCAAGTAAATTGCATTAAAACTGTTGGGAGAGTCAAGTAAATTGCATTAAAATGTTTAACTGCATTAGCATTAAATCATTGATTAAATCATTTTACATATGGGATGTTTCAGATTATCCTTTAGCTACCATTGGCTAATTTTGGTTTATTTCTATTTTCTATTTCTATTTTGTAGTTGCCCATGTTTCAGTCACATGCATACTAATGTGTTTTTTGTTTATCAATGATAGATGCTGGGAGTTATTTTTATTTCACCTCAACCTATTTCTGTGCTAACATTTACTTTCAGCTTTTAGGGATATTTTGGCTAACCTCTAGTGGGCCCTAGTGAGACCGTAATAATTAATGACTGCAGGACTTTATTCATCCTTCCCTGTGTACAGTAATTTAACACTACAGATGTAACTGTTAATGAAACTCTATGGTGTTTCTGTAATGTCACCCCTGGTGTCCACGCCGACTGGTCTACAGTGTGGTTCTTGTGTGTCCTTTTGTAGTTCCTCCAGGAAACCCCATCATCGAGGCCCGGGATGAGGTCCTGAGTGAAGGCAACGAGACAGAGATGACCTGCACTGCCATGAGCAGTAAACCCGCCGCCACCATCAGATGGATGAAGGGAGATAAAGAGCTTCCAGGTAGGTGAACTCTATACACACACACACACACACACACACTTATACATCTCCTAGCCAGAACTTTGGTTTCTCTTTATACTCAACAAGAGCAGAAAACCAGAGGTGGTTGTGTTCCTACATGGCTGGGGTTTTCTACTATCTGAGCGCAGAGATGCTCCGTATGACATGAAAACACGTGTTGCACAAAGTGGAGTTTAAAGGACGTTTCATGCAACCCTTCTGACAAAAAAGAGCGGGTTCTCTCCCTGCTTCCACCACCGTTTCCCACGCTTCGTTAAAGCGCGGAACTGTGAATAAATTCCACATAAAAGCTCACATGCAAACAAAGGCAGGGGAACAAATGCACTGCACGCTGGCAGATTTTCTGCACTTTGTTGATCCTACTCTTACACTGCACATCGATGTGCTGCGTTCTGGCCCTTTCAGAAAATCCGAAAAAACCAACAATGTTTTTTGCCTGCTAATTCCCAGTTACAAGAATAAAATTCAGCTGAACATTAGGAGCCCAATAGAAAGAATAACAAAAGACAGGAGCTTTACATCAAACTCACTAAAACTCCTCTTGTAACCTGAGAGGACAGAACCTTAGCTGTTCCAGAGGGAAGGCTATGTAGCATTTTTTGCTACTTCCTTAGCTTTAACTATATTTTGTTGTTTGTATGTTTGGCTCCTTTCTTTTGTATTTTAATTTTTTTTTTTCTGTTTTGTTTCATATGTTTTATTTTCTGCACTTTGCTGTATTTTAAGAATACTTTAAACTTTAATTCTTTTCAACCTTCAGATAAAATCAGCAATTTTATATATTCTTTTAAATATATGTAAAATGTGAGTTAACCTGTGGCTACAGGCCTGTAAACAAACACTCAAATGCACACTCATGTTCATCAGTTCACCTGTTCTCACATATTTTTGGGCTCCTGACATCAGCTTGTTTTCACCACCAACGACAGCAGATTCAACCTAAATCCTCTTTTTAAAAAGATGTTAACAGATAGTTCTGAGCGAGTCGCTGACCTTAGTTCACTGAAACATTGTCAGGTTTGACTTGACCACTCACTGGGTTTAATCTGCGGCAGTGTGGAGGTGAAGCTGCCCAGGGCCTCCATCACAGCCTCTGATTAGGGACCTTTGTTTCAAAGTCTTTACACAGCTCCTAATCTGGGCTCAGAGGTGGAGCTGACCAGCAGGAGGCCTGTTCGCCCTCTGAGCTGGGCTCCGACTTCTGACGCCCAGCTACCTTTGATGAAGGCATGAAAGTTGTCACAGTGCCACTGCACCCCCACACTGCTTTAATGGAAGCAGCTCAGACCTGCAGCTCAATTTGGGAAAAAAAAAATAATAGCATCCTTACAGGCAGTGAATGGACAGTGGCAGCAAAGAAAAGCAGGAAGTCAGGCCCATAGGAGATTTCATTTCTATCAACTTAGAAAATGCAGAAGGCTTAGATGGCTGGAAACTTTTTTAAGACCCAGAACGTTCAATGGAGTCAAAATATTGAATGGTGGAGTCACTGTCTCCTCCTGAGAGACTGTGATGAAGTTCTTTTAAATACATTGAATGTATTCAATGTATTTAGCGCGCACAAACACTTTTGTTATTCTGTAAATGCCAAGTATTCGAGTCAGCGTCAAGATGTAAACAGGTTCTTTTTTTTACAAATCGTTGCAGCTTTTCTTCTCCACCTGAAGTCAAACCGTACAAGATCCATTATAAACGTAAGAAAGGAAACGATGACTCTACAAAAGAGAGAAAAAAAAACTTCTCGGATGATCCATTATAAACGTAAGAAAGGAAACAAAAGAGAGAGAAAAAAAACTTCTCGGACCACTAAACCACTTCTTTAAGATATGTTAACTGTCGTCTTTTGTTTTTTACCAACGTCAGAGCTGTCGAGCGGACACTTCTTGGGCAATGTTGTTGCCCACATGGGACGATCTTTGGCCCAGCCAGAGCTGCCTGCAGTTTTAGTGATTGAATGTTCTCTGCATGTGACATTATTACGGTCATTTCAGAGATATCAGTTGTCAGTGGGTTATCTCAAGGCGGGCTCTGTGGGAGAGCTTCTAAAATCACTCCACACATTCTTGAACTTTGAAGATAATGAATTGTGTTATTTCTCTGACTAACGTCGATGTCCACTTGTTGAACGACTAACCTTTAGCTGTGCGCAGGACACTGTAGAGCAGTGGTTCTCAATTATTTTCTGTCATGCCCTCCCACGGGACAGATATTTTTTTTACACCCCCCACCTCCCTAAATCTGTATCTGTACAAACCACTATGAGTTGCTGCCACCTAGTGACTAGAGACTTGTTTATCGTTCAAGCATCACAGCAGCGGCACACGTCTGTTCAGTGTGCCATGGGGCCCGCCACACTATTTGAGAATTAATGCTATAAGGTTTAGGAGTTTGGAAAGTTGATGTTGATGATGATCTGTACTACTGCCCGTGAACTCTATGTGGAGCTCTAACATGGACTTTTTCCCTTAAATGTGCAGTTTTTGAAATTATTCATCAATACTTCACTTAAACATTTTAAATCACTGCTGTCTAGAGATATTTAAAGATGACACTGATGACCATTTGTTCATGTTGTTGACATGATACACACCCCTGTTCCATTGGCTGTCCTGAGTGTTCACATAAATTAAATGCACTTATGCTGAAAGGAGTAAAGTGAATAAAACAACATAGGAAACAATTACGGCCTTGGATTCTTTCCTCTGAAAAATCGAAACAACTAGAGTATACCAGAGTTCTGACACCGGGGCAGAATTACATTTATTGCTCTTGGCTATGGCTCATTTCCTGGCAAACTCATTTGTAATTAAACATCCTCAGAATTTTACCTAATTACCTCGAGGGATAATGAGGATCTCCTCATCGTTCATCAGTCTTATTTAAAGGTTGCAATTGTCTCTGCTTCCCAGTGTATACCTAACTTTTCTGCCTTAAAACCACAGACCAATTACCCTCCGTATATCTTTAACCTTAACTTTTTTCTTTTTTTTTCCTTTTTACAAATGTTTGACTAACACGTGACCTAATTCCGATATCTCCACCTCCTGACGCTCACACTGTCGTACAAGTCTTGGAAATTGAAGAGCAGGATCTACCAGTGTGGGTCAGTCCTTTCTGTTCTCGTACGATGAAAGAAAAGCAGACTGATGGGGGAAAAAAAAGTAAAAGTAAAAGCCAGCAGAGATAGGGCGCTTCATTGACTGACAGGAACCAGAACAGCCATTAGCCTCAAGTCTTACAAGACAACCACTGGGTGATTTCAATTACCCTGCTCCTACCCTCACAGGAAGCCTCGACAAATGGATAAAAGAATATTTGGGGGGAGTTGGAAGAGATAGAAGTGGAGCGACGTATATTTTATTTAAGCAGACATTCTTGCCTTCCTGTTTCACAAGAAAGTGCTTAAACGATAACAGGCGCAGAAATGAAACGTAGAGGATCTACAGAAGAGTTTGTAGGTTGGCGCTTTAGAAAACGCTGTTAGTTCTGTTCCGTGTCGACTTGAATTCCTCCACTTTTCAGTGACGCTCATGTTGGCTGGCAGTGTCTTCGGGTGTTCTCAGCTGCTGTGTTACCTTCGAGCTGTGTCCTTGTTCCAGCTCGTCTTCATTTGTCCGTCCGCATGTCACTCTTCAGGACCTGTTACCTGTTGCATGCAAGTCACAACAGAGTCACTGTGATACTTTAGTACTAAAGACTTTTTGTAAACAGCAGAATGATGAACAGAAAGAGAGAAATCTTCCAAAAATAATGCATGAAAAAAAAAAAAGTCACAATAGTGTCAACAGTGGAGGAAAGGTTGATGGAGGCACTACAGTTTCCTCCCAAAGCAACAAACTCAGCCTGATGATGTCACAGCAGTTTAGACGCCAGGAACATGATGACCACAGCCACGGTTTAACTAGTCATAAAGACCATGAGGTCTGAAAAGTGTGTATTTGGTCTCAGAAACTTAAACGTTTATGTTAATGTTTAAATAATCCTGTTTATGAAGAAACAACTCTGTTAGGAGTTTCCATTTTAAGCCAAAACCAGATTAAAAATTCCACAATTCAGTGGAATTCAGTTAGAAAACAATAACTATAAAATAAAATGTGACGATTTATAAGCTGTGGAGAGGAATTTGCATTTCAAGGACAGTGAAGGCATCACTTTCTTTACTTTGGTTTGAATTTTATTAGTTTTAATTTTCCTCCGCCACGTTATGACCTGGCCACTGCTCATGGCTTCCTCCGCCACGTTATGACCTGGCCACCGCTCATGGCATAAATATTTGATTTTTACTTTTTTTTTTTTTTTTTTTTAATCTTAACGCTTAAAAAACAAAAACATTTTTTTTGGTAATGTGTCCTGAGAGAGAAGGAGTTTTCCCTTCTTCTGGACGATTCCATTTCCCTTAATCAGAGTGAACTCAGCCCGTACATGCGTCTTCTGTCACCGCCTGTTTTCTATTCAATGTCAAAGACGGTGAATGCTCAGAGACAGACAGGTTTGACATTAAGATAAAAGTCTCCGTGTGTGTACTGAAGCTGTGTCAGCCGACGTGACCAAACCTGACCTCCACCCAAAGCAATTTTCTCCAAAGTCCTGGAACAGATACCTGCACCAGACCCATGTCTTCAAAGACATAATAGAATAATATAGTACAGTGATTGAGCTATCAGGCCGGTGACACACAGCCGAGAAGATGAGACGAGCTGCACCGAAAATCTTTTGTTTGCCTGGTGGAGAATGTGTGCAGTGTCCAGAGGTTTCATATCAGGACTTAAAAGTCAAACAGTCCTTAAAATAAGACTTTACAGAAAAAGACATTTACTCTACATTTTAGAGAAAAACACGAGCAGAGACTGAGGCTGAATTTTCATGCAGTGTTGGTTGTTGACTCCGGGACCGTCCTGATGTGACAGGGTGACTCGACCCAGTTTGATGCAGCATCTCCAAAGGCGTTTTGATTTGAGCAGACCCCCTTCATGTTCCTCCATTTCAGTCCCACACATTCATCTCCAGCCGCTGTGGGTTTTTATTCATGACAACCTGTTCCTTCAATGCAGGCACATCACACAGGTTTGATTTCCCAGCATCCAAAGAGACAGCTGTCACTGCACTGCTGATGGTTTAACCACTGCAGCCGAGCAGCGTGATGTGACGGAGGAGAGAAAAACGCTCCGCAGGATTTCACAAATGAGAATTAGGTTTAAAAAATGAGTCAAACTGGTTTTTATTTAATTTTATCAGAGTTTAATAATTCAATGATGATAATTGAATTTGGAAGCCACAGCATGTATTCAGTACAGCGTCACAGTACTGTAGCCAAGGAATTCATAGCTTTGTTAATTTGAATTAATGAATTTATCAAAACCAAAATGTTTGTCCTTTGACCACAGTGTTCCCATTAGATTTTTAAGCTGCGGCGGCAGGTTCTCTGTTGAAGTCAGTTTTGTTTTGAAGGCAGCGTGCCACTGATGTAAGACCAGGATCATTATATGACCTTGACATGACGTCACGACCGTCATTAACCTTTTAAAAACCTGATCCTGTCTCAGTTCATTCACTTTATTGGCCACGGCCTGAACATTGGTGAGGCAAATACTTGACCTAGACAACACGAAGCCGACTTCAGACAAGATAGCCTCTGGTTTTAGCAACTTAATCCTTATGAGGTGTTACACTTATGGACCATAATAACCTCAGACATTGTTTATTGATAAGCAGAGCGCCACCCAGTGGGTTAAGACATGTTAGCATGTTTATTATTTAGGCTACATTTGCGGTAACAGATTATTCATTTCCCCAATTCTGAAGCAGCGACGGTGAAGGGTGCGTATTCGCTGGCAGCTCGTATTCACAGTTATCCCATTCAGCAGTGTACTGCTGTGTCGCAGCTATTTAAGGACCCTTATATGATTTTTCACGATGAAGAAAAACAACTGAACAGGTAATGTTCAAGAACAGGGAGAAGTATAATCGATGCCACGAGAGTCGTGATGGATGAGATGGCGTCCACATTAAGACAAATTCTATCCCGTCGCAACATTTCTCTTCGTAGATTCTCCTACTTTGCGGCTGGAAGTATTTGTTTTATTGATGCGACACAAACACAGTCGTGCAACAGACTGGCAGGAAGTGGAACACAGGGATAAAAATAATCAATCTCTCTTTGTGACTCTGCTGTGCAGAACTGTCCACGGCCATCCTTCTTGTTTTGGGGGACTGTGATGAGGTTCCCTCCACTGTTGCACCACAGAACACAGCAGCCAGTTATCAGAGGAATGTTATTGTCAGAACTCCGGTCTGGAGACCTCCAGAGGTGAATTCGTTATAATCAGAAGGGGGCAGAAGAGCTTGGTCACTTTTGTGTCTTGCCCTTGAGACTCTGATACCGATGTTAGTTACAAACATAATACTCTGCGATGGTTTTTTAGATTTAGAAATAGCACACAAACATGGAACAATGTCTAAATCGACTGGCATCAGTCGACTGGAAACCTGGCCGTGGTCTGGCACAAGATCCCGGAAAGGAATCTGGCCCATACATTTATCCCTGAAACTCTTCCTTTCAGATCGACCCTAAACTATATGTTCTGGGTAAAATATGCTAGGCTCAGTATAACTGAACTTTGTTATTCAGTACTTAAACAGTTCGGAGCTTTTGTATTGTAGTTCTGTTAAATAGTTGAAAAATGTAAATAATAATAATATTATATTAATAATAAATCTAATAGACTATAATAGAATTTTGTATCATTATGGAAAATAAATAAATGTATGTAAAAAAATGTATTTTGTTTAATATTCAAAGCAATTTCACTAATCAACCAAATACATTTTAACCCCTGTGTTTTTGTTTTGTTGCATTGTTTGTTTTTTTGTTGAACTCCCTACTAACTGTGAACACTAGGTTGACCTACAGTGAATGCACCCCCCCCAAAAGAACCATATATACAACAGTTCAACCACACCAACCACACAGTAATGGCATACTGCAAAAAAACCCAGCAGTGAATATTTCCTGATCATATGGAATTTGAGCCGATTCACCTTCTGTCACTTTTCTACAAGGACGCCTCCGCTCTGCCTTACATATTTTCAGGGGCCCATTGTATGAAAGACAGAATCCTTGCACCCAGAAAATAGTCTGTCAACATTTTCTTAAGCAGTTAAAGTTTTCATTGTTGTTAAAAATCATGGTCACTTTGCAAATAAAACTTTCTTAACACTCCATGTTAACAAAGAAGTCTCTGCGGGGGCAGCAAAAGTCAGCTACGACAAAACCCATTAATTCAGGCTATTATATACTTTTTAAGATTTTCTTTTCTCTACGTCTGAGAATACAAACATCTTTGACTAAATATTTCTTAGGTACCTAGGTAACAGATGTTAATACAGAAATTTTCATCTCTCTCTTTGCCCTCCTGTTCCTACAGTTGATACCAGAAGTGATGCTACGGTGTAATGGTGCTGGAAAAGAGACACTGTTTACATTAATATTGATCTGCTATAAGCCCTGTTTTCACTCTGTTTTTCTCGGGGCTATTGGGACTGGTTTTCTGTGGAAAACTGGTGATTGGATTTATGACACAAAGGAAGTGTGTTTGGCTGGTGTCTACACCCAGGGAGGTACATTACAACAGAACACAACAGAACACGGAAAAAAACTCAGATAGATAGATAGATATATGCCTATATATTGAAATAAAGCTAGGTAATATATATATATATATATATACATATATATATACAGTCAGCTAACAATTATATACAACAAGGGTTTCTAACATTGCTGCCTTGACACACGTTTTTCATTATGTACCTGTTCTGCCATTTAGATTACCTGTTTAAATTACCTGTTTAAATTGAGTTTTCCCCCTTTTCTGCAGGCAAGCCCAAAGTTGAGCTGACCTACGACAAGATGTACACAGTTACCAGTCGACTTACATTCACCGTGAGCAAGGAGGACGACGGTGTACCTGTTCTTTGCATCGTAGACCATCCTGCAGTCAAGGACTTCCAGGCACAGAAGTACCTGGAGGTGCAGTGTAAGTACTTTTGCATACAATTTAAAATTGTTGCAATGATTTATTTATTTTTCATGTTTTCAAGAGTCTCGTTTACAGGACTCATTAGTTTTGACTGCAGGAGACGGGGTGTTCTGTCCTTTTTAATTAAAGGGAGGAGCTTTTGGTTTGGTTTTTTTTCCTAATGCAAACTGCAGGTAATGACATGTGAATGAGTGTCTGGGAAAGGAAATTATTTTCAAGAACAGGTTATAATGAATAGAAAGAAAATTTGGACGGTGTTACAGCAGACTGCCTCGTTTCCAATTAGTTTGAGATGACATGGATTTTCCACACACATTTTAACACATTGTCATTAAAGAGAGAGAAAAAAAAAAATCCTGCGGTGCATCAAGGAAAGGAACTAGTTTTATCCTGCGGTGCATCAAGGAAAGGAACTCAAAAGCTATCTAGTTTTTTGGATGCACTCAAGTCATATGGACGAAACAGTGCACAATGTCAACATTGAATTTATTTATTTTTCTCCAGGGCTTTGGTCTGTTTTATTTACAGCAGGGAAAACTTTGAGATCATTAGTTGTTTTGCAAAACACACTGGACTAAATTCTCCTCCGCTGCTGACAAAAACAAGTCTTTAATTAAAGTAGCTCCACATTGAAGACAGCTTTTATTTTCTAATTCCCTCTGTGATAAGTATAATTGGTCATTTTCTAAGCAGGCTAAGTTTCTAATGTTGCTATGTCTTCGCGCTAACACACCCTCGTTATGACTAAAATCCTTTGTGATTTTATTTTGAACCCTAAACTCAGGCTAGTTCTAGTTAGTGGTAATTAATTAGAAATTAACACAGAGACACTCACGGTGACTAACAACACAGCAGTGGAAGAGTAATTTGGATCCACAAAGCTGAGCAATTAAATTGGTAGAAATGCTTGTATATGACATGCACCAGGAGTTTACGGCCAATACTGGTTTGTTTTGTTTCCAGTCATTATTCCAGACTTGGCTTTTAATTGACTCTCCACTCGCCTGTAACTCAGGTCAACAATGTTAATGGAAGACTATGAATACAAACAACAGCTCCTATTCCCACTCCCACTATTACAGTTTGCTTCAAATATCTGGTTTAAGACCAAAAACAGGGTCCCCCCAGCCCCGCTTTGACTGAACTTCGAGTGGGAAGTTCACTCACCAAATATTTCACTTGGCCTAATGATTCAAACTGTTAAAACTGGCTGGGATGTAGCCCACATTCTCGATTCATAAATATGCAGATGTGGGACACTAAACACCTCTAATCTGTCTTTTGGGGCCAGAATGGGGCACGGTATGTCCTCAAACATAAATTTATTTATAGGCTACTTTTTGCAAATCTTCCATTAAAAAACGCTGTAATGTGGCCCAAATAGTAGATACATGGATCCCACTGAAAGGGAGGGCAACAGTGGCCTACGTGGTAGGTACAATATTTGGGCCACGTTGCTAAATGTAAACCAAATCAAAAGCGCTTGTTGTGGTCCATTTCTGGGCCGCATCCATTGACTTTGTAGGTATGGTTTCTCTGGATTCTGCTGTCCAGTGAATATCCCAGCCTGAGTGAATACACAAAAGACGGTTTAGTTACAACAGTCTATGGTGTAATGATGTGTTTTCTCCCGGCGTTGACAAGAAGTTCCATTAGGAGGTACATGTGAGGTACATGTGATGTACACGTCTTGCTGTGAATGATTTGCGTTGAGTGATAATTTACTGTTAGAGTCTCCTCTTCACTCTCCGTTTCCCCGGTGATTGGTCTGAAATTACATCATCCTTTCCACAAAACCTCTCCAAGGATCCTGTTACATATCTGTTCCTTTTTAGGAAAATCATAAGTGACAGCACCTGTAAAAGAAAGCCTACATTTTCCATTTTAACTGCAACTGCAAAGTGCAATTACTGATTACTGAGATAGATGGAGATGAGGCGATAGACGACTCACGTCGAGTCCCTCACTGTGTCGGCAATTTGCACACGGGCAAGAACGCGTTGTGCTGTAAGATAAAAGCTTTTATTTAAATAAAAAAAGAAGCCCACTGTCAGGAGACGGTATAATTAAATAAGTCTGTAATGTTTATATGTACAAACAAAGTAAGTAGTTTGGTGTCAGTGTCTGGATGTTTACCCTTCAGGTCAACCTGCAGATGAATCACTCTGTCTTGAGTGCTTATGAGGTGAGGCCCACTATAAAGCAGATAATTCCATTGGCATAATGACGACGGTCCTCTACGATTCCAGAGACTGTATTTCATTTCCACTTAAGAGACCCTGTCCTCATGCCAGGGCCGGTGCAGAATCAGTTTTGTTTTCTTTTTCTCTTTTACACTGGGATCAAGTAGAGATGAGACAGCTCCACCAATAACTACTCCAGAGCAGCAGAAACAGCCTACAGATGCCTCACGTCCTTCACATTTACAGCTGCGAGATGACAAGGTCAGATGACGCAGCAAGCAAAGAAAAAGTTGCAGGATGCCATGTAGCGCCTGCAGTAGAAACAAAAAAACCAAAGCACTGCTGTCAAAAGCGTTGCATGCCCAATGAGCAAAAGACTTGGCTTATCGCCCGCGTGCTGTCCATCAAACCAGGCTAAGAGCCGACCGCTGACAGGGTGTGATTTAGACAGATGGATGGCCAGACACGTGTTGTTTGTGGAAGAGAAGGTCGAACAGCAGTGTGGAAGTTTACCGCAGGCTTTAAAATCATAACTCAGTAGCCGAGCGCCGAGTGCTGTCTCCGGCCCTGATTAAAAAATGCAGAACTAAATTTGAGCTATAAACCTGCAGAAATAACCCAAGTGATTCACATCACGATGAGAAAACTGCAATTACACCACCGTAACTCAACCATCAGTCAGGTTTGAGATGATTTAACTTGTGGTGTTTACGCTGGCAGAATTCAATCTATGTGTGAAATCCACTAAAACAATTTTCTTCTTTCTCAAGGGCAATTCATTCTGCTGCAGCTACAATTAGGGGTCACGGATCATCTGCCGCTGTCTGTCTTTGTCATTGTCTCCTTTAACCTCCGCTTTCACTGGATGCGTGGCGGGTGCATTACGACTGTGTTGCGGTTGTCGCTGCATTTAGCTGCCATTCGAATCAATAAGAGATATTCCACCGGCTGCGTCGCAGCTTTGGTGCGCCCGTAGCTCTTTATCATATTAAGTCAAAGGCCCAGAAACCAGCAGTTAAGAACAGGGTTGTTAAACAGGTATCTTAGGGATCCAGCTGAACTCACTGTAATTCCTGCTTTTTCCTACCAAAGTTTCCTACTAACATTTTGCTTACACATCAAGGCACCATAATAATTTACATAAAAGTAGAATAGTACCCCCTCTTAAACCGACACTAGTGATGCGCATACAAGCAACAGTAAAGTTCTGATAACAAGCTTCAAAGTCAACAAGCAAAATATGTAAGCTGAGCGAGCAGCAGCGTCGTCATCCAGAGACCCTCACTCAAAACAGGGTAGTGAGACGAACTGACGTGTCTGCATCTGAAATGAGGAAAGGTGGCTGGATGTCGCAAGTGGAGAAAATTGATAAGGCACAGAGAGAAACACAGCAGCATAATGAGCCAGAGGTGAAAAAGTTAACATCAAGCTAAGCCTGGAGCAGAGTTTGGCCGTGATTGTACCACTGTGGGTTAGCCAGCCAGACTGAAAATGAAGGCAGACACAAACCGGAGACCAGACGGAGACAACGTGACGCAGTACAAAACAGAGAAGAGAACAGAACAGGAGACAAAACCACAAAGATTTCATTGTATTTCAAACACTTTAGATCCATATTTAAAATACCTCTATACCACGCAGTACAGTACAGTACAGTACAGTACAGTACAGTGCAGTACAGCAACAGGTGGTTCTGAGCAGAGTTTAAATTATAGGTCATTGACAAGTTTCCAAGACCTGGCAACACATCCTCCATCCAGATGATGGACTGAATTAAACATGAGATTTCGATGTCTATAATAGAGAATCATCTGTCACACTGAGAGGAACAAGCAATCAGAGATAACCGACCTCCACCTCCTCTGTGCATAACAATAACCTGCAGTGGCACAGGTTTTTCTTGGCAGTTGTGCAGAATAATAAAACTTTAAAACAATTAGAAGAAGTTGTTTGGAGTATATTATTTTATTTTCAAACTTCTCATTTCTAATTATATTCAGCTGGAGCAGCCTGTGAACCAGTGGTCAAATTTCCCTCTTCATCAATTTTATCTTTTATTTTAGTCTTTTATTTTTGTTTCTTGAATGTTTATTTTTCAGGTTCGTAACACAACGAATGACAAGACAATACAGTCCTTCAGTATTCAATCAAATTTACCTAATATCAAATTGATGCCCACTTTTGACAAAATGTAGCCTATGTCAACTCACTGGCCCACGTGGACCTGGTAGCTGGGTCCATATCAAGCCTCGGTTTTCCATTCCTGAACTGTGTAGTTTGAAAAAAATAATAGGGATTTCTGTCTTGATTATATGACTTGAACATATATATTATGACGTGATGTGATATTCAATATATTTAGTTGTGTCTTGGTGTTAAACACACAGTCAGGCCAGAACAGCCAAAGAACACACACTCCTGCGTACTGTCTGCAGGTCTCGTCCCTTTTTTTGTGTTGCAGCTTTATCAGAGAACAACCCCGGACATGCTCTGGGCTTGTGGCCCCGCACTTCGCTATATCTGTCTTTCCCCAAAAGCTTTCTCTTGTACTCTGGTGTTTGAATTCCATCAGTGATTCGCCTCGGGAAGACTCAGTTCACCTGAGGAGCAATTTAAACCAGTGGTAGGGCAGGTTGAGGTCAGAGCTGTCAGAGCTGTCAATGGAAATGTTTGAATGTCTTTCCTTTTTTAAAAAAGAAATCCAGTCCAAATAAAGATTTTCACTATGTACAACATTTCATAATTTAAAAGATACCCTGCAGAAACAAGGCGAGGACCTGACCCCCGTTCAAAAGTTCACGACAGGGGTCTTGTTGCCGTCTGTGTGTTTACTGTTGTTGTTACTGCCTCATCTCATCTCAACATGTATACACGAGAGAGAAAATGTACAGCGTTGGAGGTTATCAGCGTTGATGTTCAGACATCTGTTAATAAGGATTATCCTAAAAGATGCTACGTGTGAGAAAACTCGTAGCCGTTGTCTCATGACTGGATTCACGAAGCTAACCTTCCTCAGTGGACTGTACACGGTCTGAGGCCAAGAGCAGAGCTGCAGCATCTGATCTAATCAATGCAGTAATAATCTCCAGAGTCCTGTTAGCTGATTAGCATCAGCTTATGCTTCACAATTCCACCTGCCTCATACGTACTAAAGGGACAGGAACCCAGAGCATCTGTGCTGATGCTGAACTCGTGCCCGACCTTCACATCTGTGTCTTTACTCTAGATGTTTCAGATTCATTGTTGTTCAGAAACTTTCTTTTGTGTGTGCATTAAACACACAAACATAAAGAACACTACCTGCATGCAATGTTGAGAAAATAATGATAAAATAATATCCTATCACTAATGCAGTGAATGTAGTTCAGCACAGGCCTGGTGAGCGATAGCAGAGTGAAGAAATATAAAATATTTACACAGTTGTGAGGCCTGAATCCATTACTCTGTATCCACCCAAAATAAATATATAATTAGAGCTACATATAAAAATATGGGCAAGTCTTTTTCAGTGTAGATTTCCTAACATTTTTTTTTTTTCTCTCCTTTTTTTTTTTTTTTTTCACAGACAAACCCGAAGTCAAGATCATGGTGGAATTTCCTCAGGGTTTGACCAGGGAAGGAGAGAATTTGGAACTTACATGTCAGGCCAAAGGCAAACCCCAGTAAGAACTGCACACACACGCAGACACACAGTATTTTAACCAATCAAAAACACCCAGAGCGATAAAGGACACAAACCTACCTTTTCACTAATAAATATTTTATTTTTATGCACATTGACAGACCAAAGTAAATAGCATCTTATTTTTATTATATCTAACTGAAATTTCGGTACAAATCAACACAAAAACATCATCGACACAAAGTAACTACTGCCCTGCTTTTACCTATTAATAAAGGCTGTTTAAATATGATGGACAGACTTGGAAAATGATGCAGCCTGAGGGTTGTAGCTTCAGATTAGGTTCATCAAAAAAATCTTCCCTGCTTTTTCTTTTTCTGTGGCTGCTTTTTGCCCGAGGTGTACCCCAAGGCTACTTCGTAGGCCCCTTCTTGTTTTTGTTTTTGACCTGATTACAATGTAATTTCCGTTTGCAAATATTTTTCAGTAACAAAACACAGAGAGAACCTTATCCTAAACCCACATTTCTGATCACACATCCTTTCTCTGAAGCTTATTAGGGATAAAATTGTGAAATATACTGACAAATTCAAATATTATTTTGACAAATGCGCAAAAGACAAATACTGGGTCACATTTTGTATGGAATGAGAATTTAAAGTGTGACATTTTTCAACTAATAGATAAGTTTTGAAGTTTGAAATTATTCTTAAGGAGGCAACGGGAGTTGAACTAAGGGATAAAATGTCTTCTGTGCGACAGTCACACAGGGAGCGAGGGAATGAAACTGTGACTGCACGTTTGATGAACATTACTGTCAGACCTGAGGCCAAGCAGTTCCAAAGGACTATCATGCATAATCTCATAATTAAATGGTTTCTATTTTCCTTTCTCGGTCTTTCAAAGGGTGAAATTTGAAACTGGCCTGTAATTATGACATACATTAGAATTACTGTGTGATATTCAGAGCAGGTGTTTAATTATCAGTGTTTTAATGGCAGACGCTTGTACAGAGAGGGGCTTTAATGATAGAGCACTGAGTTCTAATAGCATGTAGGTGCAAATTTAGCAGAATGACGCTTGAATAAGCATTAATACAGTGATCTTTTTCCCAGTGACGTGAGTCGCTTCCCTGAAAATATCAGGGAATTTAGCAGAAGATGTCAATAAAATAAAATGTTTCTTTTGTTTTGGCCTTTGTACTGAAGATACATTATTTTTAAAAATGTGAGAAACATTTTACACCATCTCCTGACAATTGTCTCTCCTTAGGCTTTTACTCATGTGTGAACAGAGGGGGTGGTGTCGTTAAGTGACATGCCTCCATAAAATGGGATGTAATGGGGTGCAAATGGAGCTGGTGAATAAGCATAGGTGTGAGAGCTTTCAGGCAGGAGACAAAATGCCAAGCCATTCAAACACCAGTGAGTTTGCTGTTGTCGACATCACTCACACTAATATGTTGACAAAGCTGTGCAAATTTGAGCACAACAAAGATGTCATTAGGAGAGGCTTCAGTTATGAATAATAAATTGGAAATACAACAGGAACAAACTAACCAAAGTGAAGCTTTTCCACCCTCCTGAAGAGCAAAGTCCATGTGTTCCAATACAATCATTGTGGTTGGCCGAACAGGTTGTTACGTCAGACACATCTTATGAAACATTAATCAGAGTTTTTAATGGCAATAGCTGGGATTGGATAAACAACTGTCAGACACATCTTATGAAACATTAATCTGAGTTTTTAATGGCAATAGTTGGGATTGGATAAACAGCTTTGGCTCAGTGGCACCCCCATCTACCCCCGACACTAACCTATGTGCATTAGGTCGTAGTTGAGTTTACCAAAAAACGATTGATCTCTCATTTTTAAAGCTTGGTCATATCTCCAAGGATCAACGCTTCTCAGAAATCTTTGAAGAGATCAGGGATGAAGGGGCCGATGTCTGGAGACAGTAGGGATTTGCACTAGCTCTGACAAAATGAGGCCAAATTGTACAAAAATGTTGAAAAACACGCAACATCCAGGTCTTTTTATTGGGTTCAAATCCCAGGTCTGATCTATGCCGACAAGAAGAGGCGAGGTATTTACCAAAGTCCAAAGCCCATGCTGAAAAATAACTCCATTTTTAACTTGACCCCAACTTAAACCCAATCTAAAATCTAATCTCAAACTGTCCTCACTTTGCAGGAGGTTTTCTCATTTCAAGGTTCCAAAGCTCTGCATGATACTCTGAAGGGTAGAAGTACAAAAACATGCAAATGCACACACACACACACACACACACACAGCAGTGTATCGCGCATACTTCTAAATTTCTTCTCTACCCACCAGCCCCCCTGCAGTTTTCATATTTGGCATAGGGACAAGCATACCACCCGTATTCATTTTATAAAGATGAAAACACAATCAATACAGTGAGCCGGGAATTGGAAGTCATTTTCATTAGAGCTGTGGAGAGTTGTGCAGTCATTACCAGCAGATAGCACAGGGGGCCCCGGCTGTAGGCAGCCATTTGTATTCTAGACGCCTGCCCTTCTCCTCTCCTTGCAGCCTCATCTTACCCTTATCGTCCATCTCTGTCTAGCTGTCTCTTTGGATTCACTTTTACCTTCTCACAACATCCAGTCCACCTATAGAAACTCATTTTTGGAGGTCTCGTGGAATCTTTGGGAAAGAGCCACATGTTTCCTATTAACATTTCATTTCATCTGGATTATGCTGCTCTTACAAAGGAAACACTCCTATGCATCACTGCAGCTGAACACAGTCTGTAGGTGGTTGGCTGTGCCAGTTGAGCTTCTACTATACTGTTTTATGTTTTTTTTTTATCATTTTATTAGGCATGTCTTCCCCCTCCCCCTCGTATTTGCTTGGGTTTTATTTAGTTTTTTAGTTTTTTTTCAAATGAAGAGAAGCACGTTAAAACACCACACCACAGAATGGTGAGTAAAACACAAAGTAAGGGCGAACATCAGCGCACGCTCAGGGGAAATAACAGTAGCTGGCAGTAGCCATTGGAAGTTGCAGCCGCAAAATAGAAGTGTTTTGTCTTCTTCTTCTTCCTCCCCCTCTGTGGCTCTCTGGTGGAACTCATTGTCATAAAAATGGAATCTGTCGCCCCCCTCCATAAACCCTCAGTCAAAGCGCAGAGAGGAACAAATACATGGCACCCTGATGGTGCCTTCCTACACAGCAACACTTAGAGCTATACAATCATGGGAAGTCTGTAATTTCATGAGAATATCACCACCTACTTATTGTTCCTCAAAAAAAAAAAGAAAAAAAATGCCATGTCTTTTTTTCATTACAACCATTTGATGAGCTCTTTGTACTCGTAAGAAACTGGACCCTTAAAAAGATGAGCAATGTCTAAAAGAACAAAACTCAATTTTGAATTCAAACAATGATAATATGAAGTATGGTCCTGAGTTAATAGACTTGTTCAAAGTAGAAAATCAGTGGAGGTCATTTTTAGCATTGCTTAACTGATTTCTGATTTATTTTTCCTTTCCTTGTCAGTAAAAGAAAACTAAATTCTGGGTTTTGGTCCTACGGTTAGCATGCTAGCAACACAATCTTCTTATGACACTGAGCCATTAAATCAACCATCCATCTTTTGTCTTATATTTTGGATGTCTCATTTCCTTAGCCTGATATCTTAGCACTTTATCTTCTCCTCTAGGCCACAGCGAGTGAACTGGGTGAAGGTGGACGATGACGTGCCACCTCATGCTGTCATCACCGGCGGTGATCTTTACATTGAAAATCTAAACAAGTCCTACAATGGTACCTACCGCTGTGTGGCATCCAATTCAGTGGGAGAGTCTTACGATGACTACATCCTCTATGTCTATGGTAAGTTTGGAACATTTTGTTTTCTTTAGCAATTGTTTTTTAAACTCCTTCTATTTTTTCCTTACATATACAAATAAACAATGGTAATGAAAGATTTCTTTTTCGAAATCACACTGAATAAATATTTGAAACCAGTGTGAAAACCATGAAGGGACATTGTACATTGGCTAAAAGTGTACATTTAGCCTGTTTTGTGGATTCACGTTTTTGTATCAACACAGGATAATAAATGAAATCACTTGGGAAATTAAGTTAGCTGAAGTATCTAAATTACTTGTATGTATGAATGTGAGAGTAAATGGTTGTCTGTCACTAAACACGTGAACTGTAATCGACCAGTGAGCTGTTGATATAGTTTACTGCTGCCTCTGGTTCTTTGTGATCCTCTTTATGGACCCCAGAGGAGAAGCAGCATACATTAAGGATAAATGTATTCATTTACACATTCTAATTTTATTTCATGTTGATGTTGTTAACCTGAATTTATTTAAATTACATAACCACCTCAAAGGGGTTTCCAATCAACACAACATACATTTTCTAATCTGAGCTCATTCTGCAGGTTTTCTCATTATCTCTCACTTTACTCTATTTAAATTAATTTGATTTAAAGTCATAGCACAATGTACAGCAAAAAGACCGTCTGCAAAGCAACGGAAAGACAATAATATGAATCTGACCAAGAGAGTTTGACTAAGGTGAGCGTTTGAAGTGGTTTGCATCATGGATTTATGCCAAAAAAAAAGTTCTGATAGAAGAGTGAGAACTAATGAGTAAAGAGCAGCAGAAAAGTATATTTAGGGTGGTGCAGGAGATAAGGTGTGACGTGAAATGGTCTACTGTGTTGACCCCCAAAGGAGCAGCTAAAATAGCAAGCACAAAGGCCAGACAGAGGCTAGTGATAAAATAAAACAAAGATATGTTTTTGTGGACGGCTACTGGTACTATTTGTGACTCCCTTCTCCAGCAATTGCTTTGAGAGAACCAAAACCATCTTGGTCAACAGAGTAGTTGTCTTCAAGACCTACTTTTAATGTTGACCTAGTTGACCTGGTATCTACCCCCCCATCGATTTGAACCAGCCCCCATCACACTAACACTATGCAATTCTTGAAACCTTTGTAAACATTTCCTGGATAAGCTTTTCTGATGTTTGAACCAGTTACACCATTTTCTTCTCCTCACCCTTCCCCCCAGAGCAGGGCATTAGCTCCTAATGTGCTCGTTTTCCCCGTGATCCAAAATGACTTTACTACCACTTTTCTGCAGCCCCCGAACCCAAGGAGAAATTAGCCGCGTGAACTGAGTACTTTTTTATGTAGGTTGGGAGTCAGGGATTCTCAATGCCGAACGGACACCAGCTGAATGGATGTTATTTACAGCAGACAGAGCTGATGTGTTAATGATGAGCGCAATAAAACACTCATCTGGGCTATTGCAGATCACAAAACAGCTTAGTGCCACCTGCTATATTAAAGCTGTTAGTTTAAACCGACAGTGCTGTGTCTGGGTCCGCATTATACTCCGTTTTCTTTATTTAATTTTTTTTTTTTCAACCTGACAAGCAGTACCAGGGATAAGAGGAATCGTTTACAGATATACTGCTTTAAGTTTCAGTCTAAGGCGATGTAGCGAGCCACATGTTGTATATCAACACTCCTTACTCTCACTGGACTTTTCTTCTAGCCGTTCCACAGTCTCATTAGTTACAGTCGAGGAATACTTGCAAGACACATTCTGATTAATATGTATTGACTGTATGAAGTCTGATCCCGTGTCTGATCCTTTGTTAATTTTAAACCATTGTGCTCTGTGTAAAGCCATCCATCAAAAACTCTCCGTTGAGATATTTTGCAGGCGCGCTGATCCTCTAAAGTACTGCTGACAGCTGCAATTGTACCTCTGTGTTTCCAACGAGCCGGAGTTGAAGATAAGCTGTCTAAATCCTGTCCAAACCTAACTGTCACAGAACGTCCAACGCTGTCAACGTCTCTCAAAAGGCATTACACACACTGCACAGAGTAAGACCAAGACAAAACACATAAAACAATTTAATACTAGCACATTTTCTCTGTTTTTTTGTTTTGTTTATCTGTTTCATCCTTAAAACACCAATTAAACAGAAACACCAGTGGTTCTTCTAACGGCTGTACCATTAAAATGAGACACAATCTGATTAAACATGAATACATGTACGTCATGACACTTAAGATCCAAGATTCCACTTAAGTGGAATCGGAAATTAAGTGGAAAATATTTGACACGTTGACACCAAGCTGTAAGGTCAAAGGTTATATTCAACTGACCATTTGAAATGATATGTTAAAGTAAGTATCAAGGTCAAAGGTTATATTCAACTGACCAATGATATGTTAAAGTAAGTATAATGATAGTGTCCCATCACCCGGTCTTAAATTGGTACCGGGCACTAGGTGATTTGCTATTGTGTTGGAGGAAGAATTAATTACATATTATTTTCATTTCACTGATTTGAATTGGAAACTTGTCTAAAGATCACAGACCTGAGAACAAATGCTTCGTTCTCAGTCTTTCTGCATGTTCAACTAGTGTTTATGGGAGATTTCTCCAGGTTCCCTGCTTTCCTCCCACAGTCCAGAGGTCATAGGTCATTTGGACACTCTAGTTGACCAGAGGTACGATTGTTGTCTCCATATTTGTTCCTGCAAATTGACTAGTGAACTGTCCAAGGTCCACTCCTTCCTCCGTTAGCTGCTGTTGTTGCCAGCAAACTAAAAAAATATTATAGTATCGCTGTCAAAGATAAGCAGAAAAAAAGATTAAAAATAAACAGCTTTGGAGAGCTTAATCAAAGAAGGGACACGGCCTGCATCACTAACTTAAAAAGAAAAGCTAAACAGAAGCTGCTCAAAAAGTCTTTCTTAAAGTAGGCAATAATTATGAGTTGTAATTTCCACCTGTCAAACTCATTCTGCGTGATATGTGACTTTCAGCATAACTGCGCATCATATTTTTTGCACAAGTCCAGTCTTTTACCCAAATCTGCCCCATGATGCACCTCAGCTCTAAAGACACCAGAGATATTTTCTGAAATCCATCTTACTTCTCAAAGTTGGTCGATCCGTGGAGAAAAGTTTTCCCATGTGAAACCAGCAGTAACCGTCAGATCCCTGCGCCCAGGTCTCAACACCGCAGGTCCTCAGATCCCTGCGCCCAGGTCTCAACACTGCAGGTCCGTCATGTGGCTGCATGTGTTCGTCTGTCATCTGCCCCCTCACACACTCCCCGTGGTGAGAGAGCCACAAACATAAACACACTAAAAGCCTTGCAAGCAAAACAAAAGAACACAAATATTAAATAAAACCCAGCCGCCATTAAACAGTGGAGGACCTCCATCCTTTTAGAGCCATTCTTTTGATGACTTTGATGTGCCTGTGGTCCCACCGACACATTACTAATCTCCCCTGTAATTCAGCAGCAGACCATCGCCCTGCTAATGGGAACATGGGTTGTTTTGGCCGAGCTGGTCAGCAGACCCCTCTGATCCACGCACTAGCTTCTGTTTCTGTGTGATCTCAGCACCTCACATGGACATAACGCTTTATATCATTTTCTAATGTGACACAAGGGGGCGTAAATCTTCCAAATTGGATTTTGATTGGACTTAAAACCACAACAGTCCTGACAGCAGAGCGGTGGTCGACCTCCAGCTGAACTCTGCTGAGGTTCATTTAAAACACAAATGATGAGAGTTTATATAATCATGTTATCAACAGTTAACAGATATTTACATCTTCATGTCAGGGCGGGGTTTGGTGTTGGAGGAATACTACAAAAATATATTTGCATTTTTTTCAATATAAATAATGTGAGATTTAACTTCACCCCAAAATAAATAATTCTCTCAGGGAATTTGTTTTTCAGTTTTCAGTCCAAAAAAAACTGTCAAAATTATAGTTTGTTTAAAATCAGTTCTCTTCTGTTTGTTTTTAAATCTGACAATTGTCAAAACAATTTTTCCTTCTCTTGTTTTCTTATTGATATATTACATTGTTTTCTGATTTAACATGTTTTGCATGAAAGAATAAATTGAGGCTTTGTTTTTATCGCTTAATCAATAATAATTATAATAATAAAAAACAATGGTTCTGTTCTGTTTTTTAGATGGCCTGTAAAATAAATACTCTAAGAATGGAATCACCCAAGGTGTTTGGAGTAAACAAAAAAAATATTTCTTTAATTAAGGATAATAATTTTTTGATTAACTACTACAATTTTGGTTTATAATAACAAAAATAACTATTTAAATAATATTACTAATTAAAGAAAGTTAAAAAATTATGCAGATTACTAAATTAGACAATTCTTTTGATTTTTATGCCTTAAAAAAAATCATTTCACCAACAAAATCATTTCCAATGTAAATATTCTCACCCTTGCATTGCTAATAAGTAGTATAAATATCCATAACAATTCATTTTAAGCAACGTCTTGTAAATTATATAATAATTCGTGTTTTTTTGTTATTATTTTGGGAACTTAGTCTAATAAAATAATTCCCTAGGTCTTACAGGCAGAAACTACAAAACCTGTAACCACACTGAGCTGCTATTACTGTGACTTATTACTTAACTTTAGATGAAAAAATCTCCAGACTGGACATTAAAACTGTAACGTAACAATAGAGTCAACCCTGAGCTCTACAGCCACAAGAAATGCCGTCTGTTCCTTCTCTAATACATGTGATTTCTACTATTGTGACCCAAAGTGATGGAGAACACCACCAGCGCCGGCTGACACTAACAATGTTAAGAAAAAACAAAAACAAAATAAAAAACAACAACACAATGCTCGGAGGAAACTCTCAGCGCTGCTCTTACTTTCACAGTGGAAGAAAAACACCACCATCAGGGTTTTCCCTCTCACACTCGAGTGAGACTCAGCGCCAAGGGGTTTTAAGTTGTTTCCAGGCTGACGTTTACCCAATAACCGAGTTCTCCTGCTTCACCAGCACAGAGTTTTATTGCACAGTAGCAAAAATGTTTAGTGACCCACCGTCGGTCACGGTCGACTTTCTACCTGCTTTACACTTTTACCAGTTTTCAGGAAATGTGAGGAAAGTGTTGTGGGGGGGGGGGGGTGGGGGGGGGGGGGGGGGGGGGGGTGGCATCACTTTGCAAAGATAAGGTTTTAGATGTTATTTTTGTGTTCTGAAACGACTTGGTTTAACTGATGTCATACCATGAACACTAAATTTGTACATCATTAAATACATAATATTGTATTTTTTCAAAATGTCAGACGGCACGTCTCTAATCAGAACCAATTTAAGGAATGTTACAACCAGAAATCAGCAGAAATCAAGAAATATAAAACAACTGAACCCATCTGTAGGTATTTAGGTAAAAACAAACATTGTTTATAAATATTTTATTAAGAAATCTTAAATAGGAAAATAACTAAATAAAATTTAGTGAAGAGAAGCTAAATGCTAAGCAATTGTCACCACAAATTAGCTAGAACTCCATGTCAATAACAGAAAACTAAATGTTACACAGCAAAACAATAACCATGCGCTTTCTAATATATTGTTAAAGTTAAAGTATCTGATTATTTTTAGCAGAAAATATGGTTTAAAAAATGCAATTGATTATGTTTTGAGTTGGAGTCAAACCTAGAAGTCACTGGGTGGGGGAGGAGTCTGACCCTGGAACGCATTCACACTAACATTCACACCTATGGTCAAATTAGTGTGAACAATCAATCTAATCCTGTTTTAACCCAGAAGACAGACTGATGACCTGGGATCACACCAGATTACCCTATTGATGTAAGGCAAGATCTGTAACCACTTCATCCACTGTGCTGCCCTTTAACCTCAGGTCCAGCCTAAATAATCCCTGTGGTTATCGTGACTGTTATCATAATCCAATCAAACTGGATGGTGAATCTCCTTCAGATTATGACACCAACCATCATCAGCACCTCAAACCATTAATAACCAAATGATTTTAAAAAGATTCTTGGGTTCATTCCCAAAATGTAAATTTCACCCCCGGTGTGAGAACAGCAGTGGCTCACACTTGACTGGGAGTAATCTCAGAATGACTATCTTATTTCCTTTTCTCTCATGTGCCCAAAAATGCAAAACAGTGTTCTGTTAGACAGGCAGAAGTTTAAAAGGTAATTTATTACAAACATGAAAAGAGACTCGGATGAAGGAGCTTGGGCCGGGACGACCGGGCAGATTGGCAGGCTGGTAATGGGTTCGATGAAGCGAAGCGTGAGAGTCTGAGAGACTGGCAGAGTCGGGCTGGGAATGGCAGATGTGGCGGAGCAAGACGGGCAGACAGGAGCTGAATCCAAACGGGTTGCAGACGAAGCCTGAGCGGCAGCGTTGGCTCTGGCGGCGGGGTTTAGCATCTGCTGAGGCTCTGGAAAACAGAGGATGAAGCATCACAGTGGGAGCGGACACCGTGGTGTTGAAAACCAACTGCAGCAAATACACGTTTGTTGGGTGATTTGCTGTTAATGTTACTCTGAGACGAGAGCATCGATGTGTTTGTGAACGTTTTCTCAGCGTAACGTTTTCGGTGAAAGTGGACGATGTTGTCATGATGTCGGTGAATGTACAACAGAATTTCACTTTTAGATTTTTTTAAACTGTGTAAAACAAATGGTGTCCGCTCAATTACTTGCACAGTGGTCTGGTTTCACTTGAGGTTCTGAGTTTCATAAATGGTAAATCCAAACTCCAGACTTGGTTCAGTTGATCGTGGTAAGAGGATCAGACGTGTTGTCATCAGAGGATTGACACTAGATGTCAGTACAATGGAATCTGACCCCTGCTGTTGGCTTTTGGTCGTTTGTTGAGATGGTAGGGGCAACAGTGGCCCCCAGCTCCTTGAGTTTGAGACCCGCAGGTTAAATGCAGAGGACATGTGTTTTTTCTAAGTTGCGGTGGAATTCTCAGGTCCAGATTAAGCAAGTCTTCTTCATCTCCTTTGGCAGTTTTTCTGGAATCGAGATGCTCTGTTTCCTCTTTCTCAGAATTCTTCCCTGTCCATTTGTCTCAGAAACACTGGCGTATAAACCTGATGGGTAAACAAGAGGTAGTCAGGTGAGTCAGAGGTAGGAAAAAAAGTCACTTTCTGCCCGTCACATTTGAAAGTCAATGAGCTCCACGGTTCTTTGACGCATCGCATGGACCATCCACAGGAAGAGGCAGCGGTGGAGCTTTACAATTAGACACTATCGCTCAATCTTTCTCTTAATCCTTTTTTTTTCCCCCCCCAATTCAAACGTTAAGTTTTAATGAGTTGTTGACACTCCTGATCCCAAACATCTGCTGGACCCTCGCTGTTCATGATGGGATAAAACCAATTAGACAGCACCACCCCTGAGCTGGAGATCTGTTGGCTCTCAAGCATGTGTGAAACTCATCAGCTCAGGCTTTGTCTGCCAACCTACTTCCCAACGGATCATGCACTTCTCCGCCTTTGTCTCCGCGTTTCTCTGCGCAGCCTTTTGTAATAGTCACGGTTGCTCTTATAAAAGAGGCAATAGAAGGTGGATCAGCTCCTTGTATCCGCGTGTCTACTGTACGTCAGCGCAGTTTGACTGCGGAGTCTCGTCACCTGAAGGCCGCGATTTGCATTTTTTAAAATTTGCTGCAGGCGAGAGTTCTGTTACTTGATTTGCTTTTTCTTCAAGTGCAGAAACGGGATGATTTTTCAAGAACTAACAACTGCTTTTGGAACTAACGATGAACATCTCACGCCCTCGGGGAAGATTTCTTTTAAATGATAAACAAGCAGTCTACCCTGAAGGGAGATTTTATACACAGAAAGATGACTGTAATTATCTTTTTAATGTAACTCTGACACCTACGCTTGTTCTTACTTCACTGTTTGATGCATCCAGGCCCTGTGTGCTACTCTGAGACAGAATAAATCCATATTCTCAGAACAATACTTTTCTATGCTGAAACTTTATTATCATCCATGTTTTTTCTTATTATTTGAGCTCTAAAAGCATTTTTTATTACCGGTTAACTAATATTTAATTATATATATATAGGCATTTTGGGCATAGGTTTTGAATTTTATTTTGATCAGTTTCCTCCAAGAAATTTTGGGTCCAATCAATATTTAAATTTTAAATTTAAAAAGTATATACTGCTACTATGTAGCACTACAGAGGGTTAGCGTTTTTCTTAGCTAAAATGGCTAAATACATGCAGAAAGGTCACATTTGTCTTGTAGCTTTCACCTTTGGTCTGTAGCTTTGACCTTTTGAACTTTCATCATTGTCTCCTAGATGATTTATCACAGCAACCTGTTATTTTATCAGTGCGTTCTTTAAGCCTATCAATATTTGATCGATTAGAAACAGTTCAGCCAGGAGATGGCAGTGAATTAAATATACAATGAGTAAAGCTGCGCATGGTGTCACGTTAGCAAATACCAACAACTCTAAGGTGGTTGCTGCAGTTTCAGCAACAGTGCCCTCTGCAGGAAATAAGTGTGTCACAGATTTTTTCCTCTCAGACTTTTTGCCACCGGTGAAACCAGCGTCTCTGCTGCATCCTTGAATTCCACATTTCCTTTCCTCGTCTTCTTATAACACCTTATTTCATTAAGGTGCAGACCCCCCACTCCTCCCCTCCTTATGGACAGCCAGAAATTACTTGTTTTTTTCAGCATCTTTTAATAACCCCAACAAGGTTTTTTTTTTTCAGGCCTTTCACAGGCAATCAGAGCGGCATGGGAGGCTTCGAACCAAGCTGCGTTGCCAGCGGCTTCATATCAGTGTAGCCCTGCCACTTCAACAGGGAAAATGTCACTTTTGATATCTCCCTGTGGTCACTGTCAGAGTGGGGGGTCTAACCAGACTAATGAAGTTAAAGGGGAAAAGCTGTGGGAAGAAAAATGGACACAGCTTGATGCTTTGTGTTTAGTTTATTTTTATTTCCCCGCCACCACACTGGCGGCGGCCATGGCTGCAGGCATTTTGTTTTCAAGTCTGTCCGTCCACTCGACCGTCCAATATGAGAAATACCAGCAGGGCCTTGGGGCGCCGGGGGGGGGGGTCTTCAAATTTGGTGCAAATATTCATTTTTACATAAGTTTGTTTGAATTATAAAATGTGACTGTTGCTAACTGTGAATATTGAAAGTCGTTAAAAGTTTTATTATGAATCAATGGCTGAAGATAATAATTATATGAGAACCTGACAACAGATCTGTCATGTATACATTTCAAATAAAATAATCTAGAATTTTCAGGAAATAAGAAAGAGCTGAACATTAACCACAGGTCTGTCAAAGTCACTTTTATCAGTAATAGGTTGGTAACAAGTACTGTTTAGACTCAGTTCCTGAGTTACATGTTAAAAAAATACTGTTGAGGGGACACTTGAGTTGTTAGGTCCCACTGAGTGGGAGGGTATCCTAAGGTTTAAGATTTATTTTGCAGTCAGGGTAAGAATCAGAGATTAAGGAAAAGCAAGTGTTCAGATTAGGCACATATTTGTTAAAGCTCAAGTGGGGGTGGGGAAGAGGGGGGGGGTGCACGCTAGGGAATATCTAGGTGTAGTGCTGTCGAAACCCAAACACCACTTTGTGTCTTACAGTTTTTACATGTTCAATATTTCTTTTCATTCATCATGGAAACAGTTTTTGGAATAAAAAGTGTCGTTGTTTTATTCATAAAACATTTCATTAAGGAGGGAGGGAGCGGGGGTGGGAGGGGGTTGAATGGATGGTGTAGAGTCTTTGTATCCAGTGAATTCTATTTCCATCCCCAGAGTGTCGTCTGTCTGCTGCCATTTGTCCTGCCATTGCCTTTGAATGCATGCATCACATTTTTGCTTTTTTTCGTTGCCTGCATCCAACCCTGTGCCGTTCTCCTCGGAGATATTAGGAATGCGCAGGCACGCTTGTTTGTCAAGATGGCTCACTGCATAACAATGACAGCATAAGTACAACACTAGCGCCTGTGTTACTCATTAGACACTTAATCACTCCTAACAACCATGTGCCTGCTAGCATTGTTAAGTATCTCATGTCACGGTGTGAAGCCTGCGAACAGACATTAAAGCAGAGAGTTTCCAGGCAACATCTTTGATCAACATGAGGCAGGATGATGTGTTGAGGTGTCATCGCTGTGTGTACTGTATTTAATGCACTGCCGATCCAACTAATTCATCAAAAAGTCGGTAGTGGACCTTTAGCTCACACACACACACGCACACACGCACAGTCACACGTGATGACACAGAAGGCGCCGCTGGTCATGCATCAAACGGCGATAGCATCTCGTCACACTGACTTTACTTTATCTTCATGGCTTTTCTTTTTTTGACTCATTTGTTTCACCCGGCTTTGTGTTTGTCGTGTATTTGTCCTTTTCATCCAGATGCTCCCACCACCACCACCCTTAAACCCACTACAGCCACCACCACCACCACCACCATCATCACCACCACTATCTCCTACCCTGAAGGAAACCAAGGTACAGTACCACCCTCACACGGCCTCTTTATCTTATTTCTGTGTGTGTGTGTGTGTGTGTGTGTGTGTGTGTGTGTTAATGCTTGTGTGCTCACCTCACCTAATAAACCCATACATCTTCATTGTCATGTGATGATGGCTTTTCTCACCTAAACCAGTGAAAGGTCATCCAGTTCATCAGGTCCCATCATTTAAAGACTATGGCAGTTAAAGCTGCTACTGTTGAAGTACTTCCTGTACTGCCAAGGTGTAAATACTACATGTACATCTCAAGGCTCTCACATGGTTTCCTCATCTGCATGTTTCAAAGGAATGCGTTGTGTAAATTCCAGCATGGGGCGCTGTTTGTTCTCTGCAGCCCAGCATGTATGTGGGTTCCTGGTTTGCCTAACATGCTAAGTGCTAAATGCAGCCAATTGTTTTTTGCCCTGTTGTCAGTGTGATGTGCTTTGTTTAAGCCGAGCTATCTTTTTATTTTCCATCTTTTGGCCTCTGTCTTTCTTTATCCAATGTGATGGACAAAGACGCTCCTTCTCTTTCTTGTCCTTCTTCTTCATTTTTATTTATTTATTTATTTATTGGGTTGTTTTGCACTTAACTAGTCTTCTCACCAAATATGTATTTATTCGACTTCATGCCCATTTCAGATTTACAGCCCATGTCTTCAACACAAAGTCCTGACACTGATACAAAATGTATTATTTATTCCAAAAGTGAATTTTTCAATACTTTCACTGAACACACCATGCTCCACATTTTCAAATAAAAAGCATAAATGTTCCATAGCATACTGGGAAACATGGAAACCTGATACGTAAAGTAAAAATAGACAACCTCATCTCCAGGAGCCGGGAATGGTGTGTAATTAAACCGCGCTCCGCCGTGTAGCGCATTAGTCCCCTGAAGATATATATATATAAGAACATGTATACGTAGTTTTTATGTCTTCATTTCCCAACATGTTTGTTGGCGTGCGTGTGTGTGGGTGAGTGTGAACAGTTGTTGAGATGTAGAGGACAATACCTCAGCCTGTTTGGTCAAAGCAGAGAAACTGCAGATACAGGACTATAAATAAAATGAAAAATAATTTACAGCAGGCTAAACTGTAAATAACCGACCTTTTATGGAGTTTAACGTGATATTAAAGTGTGACAAAAATGTTGAAAAATGACTGTAGTTTAACAGCAAAACATATGTATAAATAAACACAAATAACATGTTAAAACAAATAAATGTCAGAATACACAAAAGTCCCACGTCTCCCAAACGCCTCTCTACACCAGCACAGGAATTGTTGACCAGACCAGATTTAAGATTCCAGCAATTGTAACAGCAAATAAAGTCGATCTGACTGGTCGGTATCCAAACTCTGTTTTAGCAAATCTGTAAAGGCATCAGACATCAAGCTAACACAGGATAAAAGAACATTAAAGACAGCTTTAAAAAAATATATTAAAAATTATAAAGCTGTTTGTGCACAGTGAGATATCACAGAAGTGACGCAGAAGCAATTTGACTTTTTCTCTTAGTCACCACAGACACAAGAGCCACCTCCTAAATAAAAGAAACATTTTCCTTTTGATTAAAAAAAGTCAATGAAGTCTGATAGGTGAGTCGTGGAGCGACGGCAGCAGCAGGGGTTAATAGCAACTGAGCGAGTGCTCTTGAAAATTAGGCCCGTTCCAAATAAACAAAATTTATCGGACTCCTCCAGCAGCACAACTGGAGGCTGCTCTGAGTGTAAATCTCTGAAGTGTGCTGATAGAAAACATCACTTTATGCGTGGACTCAGAAATCAGCCAGAGCTCCACATGCAATCAAAGCCTCTCTGACAGGCCACTCAATGGGAACAAATCTCATGAGGCCGAGGCAGAAATCCCAGGCATTGTGCTTGATTATGCCGTCTGATTGGATTAAAGAGAATACCTTTCCATGGCGGCTGATTGATAGCTCCTTTTTAGCCTCGGATGGCGTCGTCTGCACAGGCCCCGCTCTGATTATAGTCATCCCGACTGATTCGTGCCCAGATCTCTGCTGATTTTCAAAATGATCACAGTTATTTTTAATGTACCCGTTGAGAATTACGGCGCTGCTTTGGGTAAATAGAGATGCCGACGGCACATTTTATAAGGATAACGTGTGTAAAATCAATGACTCGCTGGATTAGCTGGAGCGAGGCTCTGCAGTTTTATTAAAATGTACTTTTGCCCCCGATTCTACGCACAGACATTGGATTTTGCAGCTGCCGTGTGGCCTGGTATTACCAGTGTTTAATTACGGCGTAGTCGATAATAGACAGATTTATAGATTTGTTTTTGCACTGCAGTTACATAAATATTTCATTAGATTTATCGCAAAAGCAAAACAGTAAAAACAACACAAAGAGGCAGATTTATTGTCTCTGCTCGCAGGGCTGCTTGGATTATTTCTCCGTAATGCTTTATATTCATTGAATTTCTGTGCGGCACTGTGGAAAATGTTGGTAAAGTCGAAGAAAATACAGTAAACAGACTCTCAGACAAATTCTCGAATGATGGCTTCATTAAAGGGAATGACCCCGGCCCAGAGTTTCTTTATATTCAGCAGATTCTATAGAAAACCTCCCATGTCCAGGGTTGAGGACGAGGAACGTTGCCCTCAACAGGCAGTATGTTGAAACTGTCACAGTGATGTTACAATGTTACTGTGCTTTTTTTTTTTGTTCTCTGTGACAGTGTGTTCTATTAGAGGTTGATCAGAGGTAAAGAGCGATGACAGATGAAAAATACACAAGAGGATAAATGTTGTATTGCCACCAAGATGGCAGTGAATTTTCGACTTTTTGGGGTCAGCTCATATTTCATAAAAACGCTTCCTGTTGGCCCTGACCACCACTAAAAAGATAATAGACTGCAGCCCCCAAGGAGTGAGGACTGGACCAAAAATATAGCTTCTAACAGAAAATGTGTCAAATACACTGACAGAAATGGCCAAAGAAAAAAAAAAGAAAATAAAAATTATCAGCCGAACACATGGGATGTGAATGAGAGGATATCAAATGAAGGTGAAAAGGGAAATAAAGGAAAACCAAGTTCCTGAGAGGTGTTTGGAGGAAAATAAAAATGTCTGTTGGCTGTGAATAAAAATTAATAACTTGTCTTAATGGCAGGAGACGGTGAACATGTATTTATTTAGTATTGAAAATAGCAATTTAGTCATTTCCCCATGTCACTTTCCAAACTTAAGAGCCCTGTGTTGTGGCTCTAATAGATTTTTTAAAGTGCTGTATTCTTTCCCTCTAATGGAAAATTGATTTAAAAAAAAAAAAAGCATTCCCTCTTTGATAGATTCATTTGGCAGCAGGTCTCTGATCTGTGTGGCACACTGTGGGTAAATGAAATCAAATGGCGCGGCACATTACAGTCATATGAGAGTGCTGCCTTCAATCTATGTACACAGTAATAATGGAAAGCCCCTGACAGTTGAAAGCCAGGAGAGGACATGTGGCGGGAACTGTAAAGTGTGCTGTTTCAATCGAAAAATATTGGCATTTATCAGACGCAGCTCTCAGGAGTCCTGTTCTTTTAAATGAACCTGTGAAAGCACTGTTTTTGTGGCTGCCGCCAATTTTGTCACATTATTAAAATGTTCCTGCCATTTTTTTTTTTTTTGTAAAGGCGTACTTTTGTTTTCCCTTTGCCATTATATGGATGCAGTGAGGGAGGACATGCAGATAGTTGGAGTCAGAGCAGAAGATGCAGAGAACAGGGCAATATGGAATTCAATGATTCGCTGTGGCAACCCCTGAAAAAAGGGACAAAGCCGAAAGAAAAAGAAGAAGACACAACTATAGAGAACTGCGATGTTACTCAAGTTAACATTAGAGAAGGAAGGGAGAGGCATAGAACCTCAAAGAACACCATCCCCACTGTGTGACTACTGAGTGACAAACAACAGCACTGTACTTCAGTGTAAGACCAGTATACTAGCTGGAGAAACTGTGTTTACTTCATCTTTGTAATAGCAAGAAAAAAATATATATATAAATATATTTACTATATATTGTAAGATTTTACTATATATTATATATATAATATATTTTACATATATTGTATAGTAACTATATATACTTTTTATACAATATATAGTAAATATATATTAAATATATACCCCACCCCCTTCTGTTTTATCTTAAACAAAGAGGGAAAGTGTCCATTTACCTTGTAGCGTCCACGTTATACTGAGGTGACACAGTGAATTTTATAAGACCAGACACCCAACACGTGTTCCAGACCACGTGCAGTATCGCTGCCACTTTTCTGGGTTTGGTTCTTTGTCCATTTTAAAATTGGAGCCGGTCAGCCATAACTAATTTGATTAAAGTGGATAGCCACAGAATAACTGCCTCGCTGTGTGAGGTACGGCCCTCAGAGAGCATCAGGGATATTATAGCGCTAGGCGTCGCTGAAAACGCGAGCCTGGAGCCCAACACATCTTCTTAATGCAGGCGTATATTGTCTTCCAGAGGCATTACTGTGCTGCACGATGACCAGGAGGAGATGAAAGTCGTAAAGCAGCCCCAGCAGGGGGATTGTACAATATTTGGAAAATACCTCCACAAAGAGACAAATGTGCAGCTGTTCAACTCTGTATTTACACATACACTCTAAGTACTGCAACAAGGGGGGGGGGGGGGGGGGGGGTCAACAACTCTCACTGTTTTCTGCAGGGTGTAAATATATAAAAAATACAAAAAATTATAAAAAAAAAAGTTTTCCAAACGCTTTGTGTGAAGTTTGTACAGGATTATTCTGAAAGAATACACTAACATTAGCACGTGAATGCTAATAATGCTAATGCTAAAACAGCAAACTACAGCTATGAGAGACAGGAACGTTTGTTTAGGAGTATTTGGCAGATAAACCAGAGAAGGTCTTCAAGAAAATCAGAGATTGGTAAATCACTAAGGCATTTTATTATTTTTTTTCTAAAGTCAATAAACATCTGTGGAGGCACTAGAGCCTCAGTGAAGTCTGAAAGATTGATCCACCAGGATCCATTGATGCCACACACAGAACCTCATTAAAATCTTGTATGTTTTCCAAATAACTTAAAAAGAAAATAAGTTACAAGTCAATAGGTTTGAGTGTCACTGTTTTTCCTATAATTCATTTTAACTGCACTTCTGTTGAAGACAGAAATTCAGTGAAGTATTGGCTTCAAAATTTCCTTCCTGGATTTGACTGTTCCCCACTCATATTCAGCAGTTTTTTAGAGAGGGAAATCTTTTGTTGTGAAGAAAGAGATACCAGTTTCTGTATCGACAAAGCTCTGCTGGGGATGGCAAAAGTCAGAGATGAGAATAAGCAATCACAGACTCCAGAGTGTGGAGAAGGCGGGTCTGAAAATGTGGATCCAAAAAAAAAGTAATCTAGCAGCCAGCAGGGACTCACAGCAGTCAGTTGGCATTTTCACTAGCACAGGTTTCCACATAATGCATTTTCTGCCAGTATAATTATGATTGGCACGTAGTTATCTCCACATGTTGAGCTGGATGTCNAAGGCCAAATGGGGCAGCGTGGTAACAACTCATACAGCTGTGTCCACATCAAGGCTTTGTGTCAGTGAAGATGGCTGCCGTGTCACAGCTGACCTGTGAAGCTGAAGACACGGGACGCCCCGAAAAGTTCAGGCAATCACACAACGGCTGCCACCCACAGTGTAATGAGGGTTAGGAGGCCATGCTGGCTTTATCCCCTTCTAATGAACACAAGTACTTTACTGTCCTGGCACAGTGGCCGAGATAAACCACAAAGACCACCATTGTTGGGTTCTGGAAATGGCTACTTTGTCGGTTTTTGTGTTTGAGTCCTAAACTCGCCATTGGCTTTTGTTGGCTTCTGTACTGACCCAGTTCTCTGAGCACAGGTCTTTGTGGTTGGAATTCCTTGGTTTTTTTTTTCATAAAGGCCTGTTTTTGTCAGTAATTAAAGCATTTTTTTGTTTGTTTTTACTTTTTTTGATTAATTTTAAGAGTATTAAGGGTACTAACTGTTGACTGTGTTACTTGTTTGAATATAATTTTTGTGTTTTTTACTACTTTTATTCTACCTGACAGAACCATAGAAGTATAAGATGGAAAACACCAATTCTAGTGTGACATGAAAAACAATATTTTGTTTGTGCAACCTCAAGGCTACATTTATTATTATTAGTTGTATAGCAATGAATCTTTGTGTAACTCAATGATCTCTGGCCTGTATTTGTAAATATGTTCTGACTGAAAGTCCAGTAATATACCCTAATAACTATAGAATAGCTACACAAGTTTTATAAATGAAGTTAAATATACTTGTTTGGTGTATTCTGAAGTATTGCTTGCGTTAGTCAGTGATACAATGTGGTTATGTTTGTTCATAATCACTGATAGAAGCGTAGCATCTTAAACAGGTGAAAATGTTAAGATTAAAGTTTTAGAAGCGTAGCATCTTAAACAGGTGAATGTTAAGAATGTTAAGATTAAAGTTCGCAGAAATCGAACAAGTGCAAATTAGACCAAAGTCGACCTGTGGTAAATGGCAGAAAACATGTTCTGTCCAAACAAATATCAGTACAATTAGGATGCAGACTGTAAATGTCACACATTATTGAATACTGCTCAATAGTTTCATGTTTGTGAATTTATTTATGTGTGGAACATTTTTTATGCATTTACGTTTTGTCTCTATAAGTGAAGTGTATTCATAGGTCAGAGCTTCACAAACTCACCAAAAGGCCAGATTTCAATTTAAAATTAAAAAAGGCCGAGAAATAATGTATGTTGTTTACATAGCAAAAAGCTAGCTGAAAAAGCTCAGGTTAACCAAGAGAATAGGCAACATAGCTCAAATTAGCTTAAATTTGGCCTAGAACATCCAGAATGTTTTACCTATAGCTTACTAAGCAAAAAATAAAATAATTAAATTAGCTAAAATATTATAGATGAAAACCTAAAACTAACTCTAGATCAACTCTGACAGAAACAAGAATTCTGCAGATCCACAGCTGTGAACAGCAGGGCTTTTCATCCGGTTTTATCAAGGTGCAGTTTATCCAAAATGTACCTCGACATTTCCTGTCTAATGACTGGCCTGTGGCATTATTGAGTGCTGACATGCCTGAATTATTCCAGGACCTTGTCAGGAAATGGATCCTTGGAGGCTTGAGCAAGTCTCAGATAGACCTGATACAGTCTCACCTTGTGAGATTGTTCTCCTTACACCCTCCGCCTCTGGCAGCAGAACTGAGGTGTGTCGTTGGCCTCCTGCTCTCTCAACAATTGCATATTAGCACCGAGTGCCTTCCTCGCTCTTACGTAAACATCTGTCTATTACTGGATGGCTCACAGGCAGTGCAATCTTCTCACGCATCTCCACAGAGATGCACAGGCGAGGAAACAGCAGGGTACACTGTGCACACCATCAAGTTAAATAACAGCCGTTACATAAGGACACCATCTCTTTGTGTTGTTTTTTTTGTTTTTTTTTTGCCCTTAGTTTGGTCATAAAGACTTTGTCTTTGCTGGTATGGATTCCTCTCAGTGCTTTTAAGGTGTTAAAAGGTCAACACCTGAATGCAGACAGTTAATGATACACTCCGAGAGCCAGTCCTTGTTACAGTTGGTCCCAGTGTGTTCACAGCCACACTACTACTGATACGGTGATGTTCTGCAGTGTACATATCAAGTGTCTGTGAGTCATCCCCGTTAGCCAATCATACGCTGCTGGGTCTGCTGGTTAAGAACTTAGAATTGAAACTGATACCTCATGGAGGTTCGCATTGGTACTGCATTTGTCACTGCATTTGTCACTGCAAAAAAAGGCGAATTAAAAACAATTAATAAATGTTAAAATACAGACTTTTTTTCAGAATATAACCATCATTGTATAAAAACAAGTGTCATCTCTTCCTCTCTCTTTGTTTTTGAGAGGGTGTTTTATGATGTGTAAAAAAGTGCCCATCATTCTGTTATGTAGTAAATCAGTGTTGAAAACATGGTACTGCACTCTACCACCGGTGTAGACAAGGGGCCAATTAAATCAGAGCATTCTGCCGTGTTTTGAATTTTAAAGGGTTTTGGTGCCGGCTCTTGTGACCTTGCAGTTTCTGAAAGTGGCCTTGTCTTGGCTCTTTGGCTGTTGTTCTGTTGCATTATGTACTTGTATTAGTTCCATCAGGTTCGTGTTGTCTCAATGCAGATCATATATATTCAGTTTTCAATCTTGTTAGACAATGCAGGAGTAGTTTTACCTTGACATTTTTCCACGGTGAGCTCCACCATCCTCAGAAGTATTAGAAGGGAAAAAAGTGCAAGAAAAACAACACATTAAAAAAGCACTCAGACTGTGTCAAAATCCAAAAATGGGTTTTAGAAAAGGGAAAACAACAGGTTAAAAAAAAACAAGGATTCCAGTTCAGCAAAGACCAGACAACAGAAGTACAAAAACAAACCACAGTGACGCAGCCCTGTATTAGAATGTCAATGCAGAAGAATGAAAATATGTGAGATCAATACATCGGTCTAACCATTCATGAAACTGAAACAAATGCTACATTGTAAATATGAAATACATCTAAACAGCTAAAGTGTGCATAAACATACCACGGAGAGACGAGGATTCGTTTTAACACAAGAAAGAAAAGAATTGACCGGGAGCTAAAATGGCTGCTGTGTTATCTCCGTTAGCAAAAGCTAGCTAAGCTGTGTGGCTCTACAGTGACTTTTATTGTCAGGTTAGCTCATGTGAAAAACATCAGAAGTCACCAACGCTGTAGCGACTGCGCTAAGGTAAAAAAAAAAACAAAAAAAAAACAGCTGATGTCACACAGAGACGTTTCAGCAGGTCAGGGTAAAACTCCACCTGGATTGTTTGATTATAAAAACTTGAGGTCTAAAATGTATTAGAGTGTTGAACTTGTTGTTGTTCACCAGTGCTCAGGCTTTTACTGGTACATAAACCCTCGATGGAAGCCATAAAAAGGAGCAGATAACTCCTGTTGACTGAGTCCTCTCACCACTAAACTTTAGTTGAGTGCCTGCCAAACAAACTGTCCCCACTGTAAACAGTCGCTCAAGTGCTTTCCAAGTCGCGCGCGATAAAATTAGGACGGCTGCACAATAATGTCCCCTGGACGGTTTGTCTTTTCTTTGCACCAAAGCTGCCAGTACTAGCCACATGCTAATAGTTTTGTCCATATCTCCTTAAGCACTAGCCACACACACTCCCCTGCGACCCGAATGTCCAGTGTATGTTTGTGTGCGTGTGCTTTAAAATATGCGTATGTTTGTGCAAGCGTGTGTGTTTGTGTGTGTTTGTGTGTGTGTCTGCAAAAGCTTTTGTTTATCTCTGCACTGCCTTTGGTTTCCCTATGATTTCCCTCAAGCCTTATGTCTTTTGTCATGTTCTGGTCTTCTGATTGCTTGCTTATGGGTGTCATTTGTTTTCTCCTCCTCCCTGCCCTCCCCCCCCACTCCCCCTCCCACTTCCCTGTCCCCCCTTCCTCCCCCATTTCTCCCCTTTTTTTATTTGCATGCTGTTCCTCCTGTTCCACACCCGCCATGTCCTCTCCCTGTGTGCTCAGACCCTGCGCCCAGCACTGAACCTGCAGCTCATGGTTGGTATCTCTACTTTCCTCTTTTTTATGTCTTTGTTTTTCAATGCATATCCTGTCTCTGCAGCATGTCTACTTTTCTACTGTTGCTCTGTGAACGTTGTTGTTTCAGGCTGTCAAACTGCACCCCCTACAGTATCAATCATTTATTTATCACAGTGATATGTAACCTTCCAAAACAAATGTTTCTCGTCACATCCACTGCAACACAAAGATGTCAACTCGCCCAGTGTCCTCACAGAGACGCAGATGATCGGAACATGTGGAATACTTGCTGCAAACTAACCAATTACTGTGTTTCCCTGAAGGTGCCACGGAGGAGTAAAACCAGCTCTGAGGCCGGAGCTGATAATATCGACAGCGTGAAATGATTTTGCGTAGAGGCAAAAATAGACTTAATTTACTCACTGACATTAATTTAAATGACGATGATATGCATCATTTTCTCATTTTTTTTTCCTGATTTGCATCCGATATATTATGACTGGGGAAAAAAATTATAATTCAAGAACATACACACATATTCATTTTCCATTTCACTTACCTGTTTAACAGACTCAGTCAAGGTCAAAGTGAAGTCCAAACTTTTGTCTTTGGGAAACCAACTGGAGGAGTTTGAAAGACCCAAAACAGAGGTCCATTCATGACGCTAAAGACTGCATATAGATCCAAATGTTGCTGCGTTTCATTACATTTATTTAATGCCTAACAGGAACCATTGGTGATGTGAAATATCTTTACAACTCCAAGTTTCTCAGCTTTACATCACTTAAACCTGGAGTAAGGAGAAGTATAGCATTAACAACTTTAAAAACTATTTGTGGTTATTTAAAAGAAAACACTTGGGTGAATTGACTGATCGATGGAATGATTGAGTGAACGAATGCATGAATGGTTAGCTTTAGTAAATGTATCCATTGGTTGGTTTAGTAAAAGGATCAATATGATGCTGGTGTAGCATCAGGCGGCTAACGTTTCCACACAGCTGCAGCAGTATTCAGCCTTTCTCTGTGTAAGTGATTTTGGCAGCTCCCATTGCCCCCCCACCCACAGAGGCTTTATTCTTCTTTTTTTCTGAGTTGCGCTCATGAGTTTTTGAATGGTTGCCGCAGATGTTGTGTTCCGGCACATAATTATTTTTTAAATGCTACTAATTAACTGCAGTGATGCATCATGAATATTTTATTTTTATTTACTGGAAAATTCACTGGTGAAGATTTGAATTAAGTACAGTGAACTGCGGCAGTGCAGAACAAAACTGCAGACAAAAACGAAGAAAAAAATTGGACATCGCCACCTGTTGGCAAAGCAGAATTTCAATGTGAAACCTGAAATGAAAAAGAAATTATAGTTGTTTCATAACCAAATATTTGTAGAAGTTTCTTTGCGACCATTGAACCATTGAAGGGTTCCCTGTTGGTCACACACAGTATTTACTGTTCCATGATTTGTGATTTATCATCTTCTCCATCTATGCTAATCTTTTCTTCACAACTGGAAAATCATTTACCAAGTCAAAGTCACATTCAATTGAATAGGAAACTAAAACTAAAGGGCGTTAAATTGAATCAGGAGATAAATCTTTCAAAAAAGTTTCCATTTACACTGGGCTCCACAGCTCTCTCTTCAATACTATACTATACAAACAAACTGCTAAAGCTTTTGAAGATTTTTTATATGAAACCAGTGAATAGTGTTGATGTAAGACAGACTCGAATGAAGGTTTGGCCAGGATACCGAAATCCAGTGTTTTCCTAGGACAGTAAAGGTATCGCTGGCATCGCTTTCATTTAAATTTGTTAAGCTAATGTGAACTAGCCAATTAGAGTTGGTTTACAAAAAATACTATATATATATATATATACTGTATATCTATGGCCGTTTGGTGCCATCAAACATCATCTTGATTCTAGTGTTATTGATTCACCATCTGGAAATTTAAAGTTTTTTTGTTTTTTTTTTACTTATGTTCAGTGCCAATGTTAAAAGTGTCCTAATTTGGCAGAGGTACAGTTAAATATAATTCAGTTTTTTTCTGTTTTTGCTAAATTACCCCACACCAATTTTGTCCAGCTGTTCGATACATCGGCTCAGAAGAGCTCCGAAACTGCAGACTTACTTTACATTAGCATCCCCCAATTTTTTTCTTCCACTTTATTGTTCATGGAAGCTGAGAAAACCTGGCAACATGAGAGAGGTCGCCCGTAGTGTTGAACCCACAGAGAGTAACCACTCATATCTGCAGCTGTCTCGGGCTTTTATGGCGCTTGATAGTGAAGTTTCAGCTCATTGTTCTGCTGTCAGGGCCTCGATTTAACTGTTTTGGTTCACGCTCACTGCTGTCACAGCAGAACCGTCGACTGCAGCAGACAGCTGTTTTCTGAGGAGGCTCTAAAAACCATCTGTGCGCTCCCTGCTCAGCAGAAAACCTCAGAGAGAAACTGTCACACACTATTGCTAGAGAGCATAGTGGGTCCTCAAGTAGATCCAAAGACAAATATTTTTTAAGGCCTTGGTATTAGCAATGGAAAAACTTGGATATACAGTACGATGGTCATGACCAAGCATTTATTTCGTTTAGTTATTTTGTTTATTTACTAAGTCTTGTGGCGGACATGCTACACTGTGGAAGCACAAAAACATTTTTTTAAATAACTCATTCCCTTACCAAATAATTCAGATACAAAGAAATATTCCTGCTCCTAATCCTTGTCATAATTCTAATCTAAAGCCAACTCTAAACATAACTCCAAGCTGAATCATGAAATCTACGCACAAGGACAGAGTGAGGAATGAGGTTCTGCCTAGAACCAGATTTTTGTTTCCATAGGGACAACAGGTCTAAGGCTGACTAGTAAATTAGTAGATATTACAAGGGCACACACACTCACACACATTATAAGAAATAAGAGTACACACACACACACATATATAGTACACAGACCGTTTGTAAATCCTAACCAGAACTGTGTCCTTTACACCAGTGTTACCAGTCAATGACTCTCACTGAAATTCTCCTAAACCCAACACACATCTTAATCCTAACTTTAACCAGAGGCTGAGACATTTGTGTTCTGCCTCATTAGAAGCAGATTTTGGCCTTGACAGGTCTTAGCCAACTAACACACACACATACACACACATACACACACACACAGTGCTAAGGAGAGATCTTATTAGCCAGTCACCCGTGCAGGAGTCCAGGCTGAATAGTAAATAAAAGACATTGATTAGATAAATAGTGAATCACTGTGTAATGAGTTGGATTTCAGGCCCAGATTCAATGAATATCGACACCAGTGAGTCAGTGACTGGCAACACAATGATCAAAAAACCCAGACTGAGTCTTTTCCCCCCGGTGATGCAGACGAGAAGTTATTACACTGAAGAATCCATTGAGCAGAGTGAAAACAGACTGTAACAGTACATGCTCTTAAAGCTGTTTAATTTAACACGTCTGTCATAATTCACAGAGCCATGGTGATGCCATGGAAACACAGCAGCACACACCACCGCTGCCGCTCATGATGATAATAATAATAACATCTAAGTTGGTTTAAATCAAGTTAATAGGTTGCATTTACAATTATCAGTGTTACGGAGGCACTTCTAATCAGAACTAATCAGGAATTGCTGCGACCTTGTGTGAGAGGAGAGCGGGGGGGTAGACGGGGGGCAGCCACTTATTATAGGGTTTAATGTGTAGATGTGTCTTTGCGTGGATAAAAAAAATAGGCAAATATAGGAGTTGTTTGAAATTGTATTTAAAAAGTTACCACATGCTCCACAATTTAAAGAAAATCTCCTCCTGTTTTTTTCAGTAATCTAGTAGTCCGTAATCCTCCTGTTTAAAATGCTCCAAATAAGGAAGATAAAGCTGTTTAATTTTGCCATAATTTACTCCAGGTAGCAAATGCTTCACAAAAATTCTTTCAAACCAGACTTGGTTCTTGGGCCATTGGTAAAGATTCTAAAATCAGCCACACGGGAGGACTAGCTGAAACCCCTTGTCCATAGAAGGACAGGAATCTGGACAGGACAACACAAAATGACTAGGGCAGGTTTTGCAACACTCTTAACACTGTTAAGAAGCCCAAAACTCTGACAACTGCACCACAGTGCGCCCCCTTTGTTAAGTTTCAACACTGCTGGTGTCTTTGTATTTGAGTTCAGGAGTTTTTACCCCGACCTACAGGTTTACATAGATTCAAATAAAAAGTTAGAGACTCACCTTGTTAACTCTACACATAAAACCACACAACCTATAACAGAGACCATTGAGAACCTCAGTGTTGAAGGAACTCTACTGATGAAATAAAAAAGCTGCAGCTTCAGGGAGTGGGGCGGGGGGGCAATATTCCATTAACGTAAAAATGTAATCAATATGTTGCATGTGCAGCTTATAAATCCATCACTAGGTTTAGAAATGTCGTTCATTACTGCTGAGGAAAAAAGGGAGCATTTCATGGTTTGTCGACTGTTACAAATAATCAATTGCCTGCTATTTTTCACTGAAAAACCCAATTTCACATCAGTTTGAGTCTTATGGAATAAATGAATGCTAATTACGCAGAAGTTTTTGAGGCAACACCTGCACCTTTCACTAATGTATATTCACCAAATAGAGCATGAATATTAATGAGGCCTCATCTCCATCAATCCACCGTGTAAATCCATTCATCTGGTTTTAGCACATCACCATTTGCCCTTTTCAAATATTTTATGAGGGGGAAAAACTGTAGGTGAATATTAATTTCTTTCTTTCTCTCTTTGACGATTTCAGCGCCATTTAAATGGTCACACACTTGGTCTGACACTAATTGTTTTTTCACTTACTTTATGAAGAAGAGAACTTAGGTAAACCAAGGTGAAACTTCTTGATTGACACCAAAATGGTCAGTGGACAATGTTCTCTTGCTAATGCAAAAGCAGTGTTTTGTTCAATTTGTAAAAAGAAACATTGGTTGTTTTGTTTTTTTTTTTTTTGAAAATTTAGAGAAAGAATATAAGCTCTGATTTCCAAAAGTGAGGGATTGTTGGACTGTAGGAAGAACTCTGGAGTGGCAGTAAAGTACTTGAAGATGATAAACGGTAGTAGCAGTTGTAAATCTGTCGTCAAAGATTAGCTATTGATCATTATTTGTCTTTTTCAAATATCTTATATGAAGGAAAAACTGAAGGTGAATATTACCAGTTTAACAACAAGTGACATTAGTGTTTTTTTATATAGTACAGTACAGTATGTAGAAGTCAAAAAAGAAGCTCCTTTTAGTCTTTTGAGATTCTGTACCGAGTGCCTCAAGAATATGTGTCAGAAAAGGCAGAAAAGTACTTGATGGTGCAGTAGAACATGGGTGAGAAATATATATGCAGCTTATATGTTAGATAACACAGACAAGCAAGTCAGTTAATGTTCTAATAAAAACCAGAGTGCAGTTTGTATTTAACTATTATGATTATGGTATCAATATTGAAACAAACAAATAGATAAGGCGTAGGTGCCAAACCAGGTTCAAATCTACGATAAAAGCACCAGCTTTGACCATTGACTCTTGAATGTTGTTACCATAGCAATGCCCTGTTTGTCAGGACTTAAAGAGTGAAAAAAAGGGAATGAAACAAAACTTTACCAACCGCCAAAAATCTCAATTTCCCTCTAAAATAGAGCAGGTAGGCGAGAGGAGACTGCAGGGAGTGAATTAAAGATGCAGCGGAGAAAATAAGAGGCTCTCCAAGATGAACTGCCAGTAGAACATGTCGTCTGGGTCTTATTATTACCAAAGCCTAAAATGATAGAGTCCAAGAAATTGCAAAGTTTCCAGACAAAATTACTGATTTCATTACGCACATGGGTAAACACCACTGTCCTTCTGGCTCTTGTAGGCTCTCGTAAAAAAAAGTCATTTCAGGTCGGGAGAGAGTTTGGGGCGTCAAAGACAAAAAAAAAAAAAAGAAATATAAAATAAAAAACAGACAGAACTGCAGTTCAGTAACAGTTGAGTTGACTGATTGTTTGGATTTAATGTATTTCATTTTACTCAACAAAAATATGTGCAGAAAATGTGTTAAATGCAGCAACTCCCTTTTGTAGAAAGGATTATTGTTGAGCCTCCCTGAGTTAACACATTCATAGCTTTAGTTTCAAACTCTACTAAATTTTAAAACTGAATAACTGATCAGAATAAAACAAGTTCTTTTTTTGTTTGTTTTTAAACTGCAAGAAAAATACAAATGTCAGTGACTGTTTCCCACTGTGGGACAAATTGAAATTGAAATGAATTTGCCTTTCTGTGCCTCCCACTGTTATAGCTCCTCACTAGTTTGTGAGTGGCTTCAACTAGTTATTATTGTATGTAAATATATATTTTTTGCACAACTTGATCACCATTTAATGTTAATTTATTTTGGCTAAATTTTACCTTTTTTTATGCCACATGTTTGTATTATAACCATGTTTATGGCTAACACCTTGATTCAATTCTTCCCTAGTTTGACCTTGACGCCTTGACGTCGTCAACTCCACCTTAAACAATACGCATATTTGATAATAAACTAAAATATTATCATGTTCCATTAAAGCTAAGTCAAATGTCACGATCGAGACTAAAAAAGATCTACGGAACATTCATCAGTAAACGAACTGGACTTGTGGTCCATTAGCGCAGCCTTACATTTTCGACTTTAACGTTTATCCCATACTCACCCTGTGATCCGACTCCATCAAGCTGGGGTTAATCCCAGGTTTAACTGAGGCCAAAACCACCTCATTATCTTCAAACCAAACAGAATCTTTTGAAGGCACACAATCATCAAACTCACGCCGTGGCCGTCAGACTCCAGCTGCTGTGTTTCTTTAACCTCCCCACATGTGAAGTCAGCAGTGCCACCTGCTCCTTTGATAGTCAGTCAACCCAAAAATCGTGGACACTTTTGCTTTTAATTCGGAGCAAAAAGACCAAACGTCAAAGAGAGAGAAAAAAAACTTCTCAAATGAGGGAAAAAAAATAAATAAATAGTACAAAACTTCTCAAATGAGGGAAAAAAAATTAAAAAAATAAATAGTATCCAAAGTTATCTGCTAGTTTTTTTGGTGCACGGTGTCTTTAGCACCTTAATGAATGCCTTGTCTCCTTAATGGCATCCAAATGTGACAGCTTAGTCCTCGGATTAAAGCAGGAAGTCCTGTGACTCACCTCCCACAATCCCGCTGTGAGCAAAGTGCCCATTAAACGCCTGTATTCCTCTCTACTACCAGATCTCGGAGGTGGCTCAATTATCCCACTACCTTTGCCGCGCGCTGACAGCCACGTTGGCAGGTGTGTCCTTTTACAGAAGCGCTCTCCCCCCAGACGGGAAATTAGTCCGTGCAGCTGGCCATCAGCTAAAGCAAGTGACACCTTCCACCAACATGGCCTTTCATTAAGAGTGAGAAGAGATTGAAGTGAGAGGAGAAGCGCTAACACTGGTAGAACATGCACCACTCATGTACTGACTTGGACGCTATAAGGTTTCTAACACTGGTAGAACATGCACCACTCACGTACTGACTTTGAGCGCTATAAAGTTCTGTTTTGGGGTTGTTGTTTTTTTTTTTCTAGCTGATGGAAATTGCAGTAACTGTGAAATTCTATACCTAAATATGTACATTTCTTATAGATTATTAGATTTACCCGACAATAAAATATCCCACCACAGCGCCACCCGTGGATAGGAAGCTTAAGAACTCTTATATCCATCATATACGAAGAATATTGCAGAAAATATTTTGTATCAGAGTATGCAGAAATATATTATGTCCTAATATAAGAATTATTCTCAGGTGGTTCCTCGACTTATCACACCTGGAGAATGTGAGGAACTGATTTAGGATGAACTACAAATGCAACCAATAAATGTACAACATGATCTTTGTTGGCCATAACACTTGTGTTTATTGGTAAATCAAATCAAATTTCAGTGGGTAATATACCTAACTGCTGTGGTGAGTGCTTTACGAGGAGGTCTGTGAGAGTTAATGTGACAGCAGAGGCTGCCGTGATGATGCTGCAGGTGTTTTCAGATCAGCAGGTAACTGAGCGACAGATGGTGATGATTGACAGTCAGGATTAACGTGAAATCATGGCTCTGCTCTGTGTGCAGCTGGCAACATGACACACTGAGACATTTATTTATTCTTTTAGATTAGAGGTAAATACAGTTGAAAGTCATACTAGCAAATACTTTTTTAAATAATAATTTTTAAATATTTTTGACTCTGCTAATTTGATCTTTTAGCTTTTTCGCTCACTTTGACCTATGTTACGACTACCAAAGGTAAAGTCACATATTTAACTATCTTTACATTAATTGTGGAGAAACTTTAGCTGCTACTGAGTTAATATTTACTGATATTGTATCTTTTTTTTTCAGCTTTAATCATGTTGCAGATTTTGTTTAAGAGCGCTCAGCTAACACTGGGATCGTTATACTGCTGTGCTTTTTTACAGCTATATTAATTATATGAGCTTTCTGGGGAGTCAGCTACAAGTGCTGCGGAACAATTTTCCTCGCCATTAACTAGCACTTGACGCTGTTTTACAGTTTACAATAAAGACGGAGCCTCAACATTTTATCTATTGTTCAGACTGATTAAGGCATGGCTGGCTTTCAGCATCCAAAACAAACATCTTAGAACTCAAAGGTACTCAATCTCCTGAAGCGGAAAGTTTGAATTGTATTAAATATATATATATATAAGTCATTCTTTTAGAAAATTATACCAATCACAGAACCTTGAAACTTTTAAGTTGTGAGCCATTTTCACGTCTGAAGAGGACAGATTGGTCCCCGCTCCGTAAGTTAAAAGCAAATGTGGAAAAACATTTTGAAAAGTCATTATAGTTGGAGATCTGCAGTGGTTCTCATCAAATCATTACTTTCATTCTCTCAATCCATTCTGCATCTCATAGTCAATATACTGTACATACTGAACACTTGGAACACCTGATGGGAAAAATGCTGCAAAACAGTCTTTTGGCATTTTTTGATGTAGTTCTTTGTCTATTTTTTTCAAGTTTTGGTAAAACCCATAAATGTTATCATTATTTGCTAGTGCTAAGTGTTTCTAAGCTAACATATTTTAGCTAGTTGTTCGGCTGTAGTTCATCTTCAAGGCTCTTGGCACATTTGTACTTGACTGTTGTCATTTCTTTCATATATTTTGGCTAAATTGTAGCTTTAATATAGCTTTTTCAGAGTTTTTCATGTTTGTTTGTTTTTTTGTTTGTTTTCATCTTTTAAAAGGTCTATACTTGAAGTAGAGAAATGTCACTGAGAAAAAAAAAACAAGTTTTGTTTTGAACTCAACAGTTCTGGGTGTGAAAGGTGTGAAGGAGAATGATTCTTAAAATTTACTCCTCACATCTTTTTTGCTTCACAAGCTGTGAAAAAATAAAAACAGAAAGACAGAAGCAGCATGACCTACACGATCCTCTCTTTTAAATTCTCTGACTTGACTTTGCTTTGTGTGCTTCAGTGTTGCCATGACAGCAGCTAAGTCCTGCAACTTTTATTAGACAACGTTGTATTGTTACCTTGACCAGCCTGATGCTGAGATGGGCATGAAAAAAATAAATAGAGTATTAAGTGTTCTGTTGTAAACATCTCAGTTTATTGTTACTGTTATTTATTTATTTATATATTTTTGTTATTTGCAGTTTTCTTAATTACTTTGGCCACTCTCTTATCCATATTGAATTTTCATTATGCTTCAAGTCAAGCAGCCAAGTTAAAGTTAAAACAGCTTTGTAATGATAGTAACAGGTAGCAGGTAGATATTTAAAAACAACTTTGGCCTAAACATAAGGCAGAAAAGTACCTTAAAAGTGTCACTAAAATATAACAAAAGGAAGTAAAATGTATTAGTTAAATATCAGAAGTGTGAAAAATGACACTGACATTTCCTGTTTGCTTTTGTTCAATTGTTTGATGATTATTTAGACCGAGAGACATGCACCAAAAAAAAAAAAATAGAAACACCAAAAATCCCAGTGTGTGATACCTTGGTCACTGACTGTATCCACTTTTAGCTTTTAGATAAAACCCCGGTCTATGATGTAATCTCTATGTAAAATTCAGCAGCTTTTCTCTCGTCTGTATTTCTTCCCCTCGTCACCATTCATGCGTTTAAGATGGACTGAATTTTCTGTGAGGTAAATGGGGGATTAGAGGCTAACGTCATGCACTTTGCTCAGCTGAAGGGTTTTATTATCGCTCTGAGTGGCAACGATGGCTACACCTGATGGAGGCTGTGCCACCGCGACGCTTTTCAAAGATGGCCGCGGTGGCAGAACAAAGCAGGCGTATGGGAATAACAAGTGAACTATTCCGCCGTAGCCATAGCCGCCATCTTTGCATATTAACAGACTCTTGACTCTGAAGCCCCTGCTACTACATGTACTCCACTGTGGCATAAGGCATCGTGTGAGAGTGACTGTTCACCCTGGTCACATATTTTTGTTTTATTTGCCGAAATGGCGTTCGGCACTAACCAGCTCTCGCCGTAATATTCTAGAAAAGCACTGCTCTGCTAAGGAGACTGAGAGAGAAAGAAAAAGAAATAATTTGCTATGGCTAATATAGTTGACTTTTTCATTTTGGACTCTCCATTTGCTAAAAGGTCAGTCCTGTCAAGATGATTTGCACTTAGTCAATTGGGGATATTTGCATGTTAAAGTTCACCCGAGTTCAGCTAAGTCTCTCATTTTTCGTTTCAGTGGCATCAGGTTGTATGATGTGTTAGCACCACTTATTTCACGCAGGAATTTCAATGCAGGAAGCTATGCCATATGTTGATTGTAAGTGTTAGCTGGTGGTTGTCACGGTTACCGCAGTGACACAGAAGGAGATGTATCTAGGTGGAATTCACGCTTTAAGAAATCAGACCTTTGCCGTGAACAAACCAGAGAACCAACTCTGGGCGTTAGTACCAACAGTTCTTGTTGATTTATGGAAATGCGGGAGTTTTACCGATGCTACAGTTTGAAAGAATCGGTGTAAACAGCCAAATCTCTGGGTGCTGACCTTGACCACAGGACGCACCGCGGTCTGTTTACTGTGTGTATGTAAATGTAGTCATTGTCTCGAGCTCCTCTCAGCCGGGATTAGGCCCCGGTTTCCTTGGCACCGCTCCTTCACTCAGAGCTGTGTCTGCTCTCTGTGTACACAAACCTCCACACAGGCCCCGATGTCATTTCATTGACTCTTCTGGCTCACAACAGCAGCGCTCACGCCCGCCGCTGTTGTTGTTATTATTAATAAGACCACAGCAGATACGACTCAGAAGTCAGGATTTAGGGAGAACAGTTTTATTAGAGTCTGACGGTTCCGTGATTCTGTCAAGGTTTGAAGCACTTGAACTGAACAGTTCAGGAGTCCGGTGCTTTCATCGTCTTTTGACTTGCTTCTGTTTTTTGCTTTTTCCCTTCCGTGTCATCTGCGCAGCGTCTTTCTCTCTGTCATTATCTGGTTTCCATCCGTTCTGATTTCTGCCCCCGCCCTGATGGCTTTCACCTATGTTCAATTATCCCCACCTCCCTGTGGTCTATTTAGACTCTGTGCTCTTCACTCTCTTTGTCACTTCATCTGTTCACTTTGTGTCAGTTCATGATCCCGATGCTGCGCCTGTTCCTTGGGGGCGACTTATTTTTGTCTCTGTTATTGCCTTTACTGTGAATAGACCAGTGGGCACAGATGAGAATTGAGTTTAAAGAGTGGGATGAACATGTACTGTGTGGGTCAGGTCTAGACATAATATTTCTGTTTTATTGTTTTAAAGTTTTCTTTGACTTGAATTTGACTACAAGCTAGTAGCTCACTTCTCGGCCAATCTACAGTTTATTATTTTTGGCTGAAAAACTGACTTTTAACTATTGCTGTCATACCTGTATGATGTAAATATTTTTGTGTACTTTTAATGATTTTATTAATTATAATAGTGACAATAGTTTGTTAAACAAACTTTAAT